CAGCTGGCTGTGTGTAGTGCTAGCCCCTTCAAAGGAAAGCTGGATATACCTACAGTTATAGTAACAGTGTACAGTCTCTGATTTGCAAGAATGAGGGGACACTCATTCATTATTAGAAAGTTAAAAAGCTTAGCTATCTGATACCAAACAAGTAATATAAGGAAATTAGACTGAGAAGATGGAAAAGTGGAAAGTTTTAACAAACTTTCAGGATCATTTATCGATTCCAATATCCAAGCATTCAAACTTTATCTAACTTTAGCTCCACAATTTTGGCAAAAACCACACAAGTAATATCACCATAAAAGGCTAAAAAAAATCTATTTATAATTAAGAAACTCATTCCCTCCCCTTGTTAACCTGAAACTAACCATTTTATCCCACCGCAAACACAGTATGTTTAAATAACAAATATGTATCTAAATTAGAATTCCAGTGATTTTTTTTTAAAGTAAAAATCATAGGGTGTTTTTTATAATCATAAGGAAAACATTTTTTAGCCTCTTCAGGAAGATGATAATACTATTTTTAATTATATAGAACATTTTAGAAAAGCTCAAAATATTTTTGAAATAGTAAAGTCTCTGATATCCCTGGGAGGTAGGTGAATATTATTATACCCAATTGTCTAATGGGTAATCTGAGGCACGAAGGTTGAATGATATTCCCCCTAGATATAGTAATTCAAGAGTAACACTTACGAACTCCACCCGCCTGACAATAAAGTTTTGCTATCAGGTGACACTACCAGGAGCCTCTGCTTTCTCCTCTTCAGTCATCAGTCTCTTCTTCCCAATTGGAGTTTATTTAAAAGGGGGCACTTATTTGTACTGGATTTTGAGGCATGGTTCAACTTAGTCTCCCTTAACATGTCACATCTATTTGTTTTCAACAAGAAACAGATACTTAGATACTAAAAATTAAGTTATTTTGCTTAAGGGAAAAATCTAAATAGCCATAAAATCAGATTAAACCAAATGTAATTATCTGGCAAATAAAAAGAAAACCAAAAATCTCTCGAAATGTTATAGATTATATGAGTGTTTTCCTCAGTGTCTTAAGTCTTTCTACTTCTAAGTTTATTAACCTTTTAACAGATATGCAGCTATATGATTTCTTCAAAAATCATTTTCCAGAAGAAAATACGGTACATTTTTAATGTTGACAAAGTTGCTAACTTCCTTCAAAACTTATTCAGACACCACATGATGATCCTAACGCTAGCTTTCCCATGCTTAGTCTTGCCTGCCATAGTAAACCTTATATCAATGTGACCCACAAGAAACTCTTGTTATTCCAATGCTTTCTCCTATATTACTTATGCCAGGTCGAAGGGCACAGAGCAGTGGGTTAATCAAGGAACAGTCAATGATCCACTAAATTTATTTTACTTTTAATAACTGACTTATATGTGTATCTAGATATACCTTTTTTGTTAACTTCTACAAACATATTCAAAGGGGGAAAATGGCATCGTGTGAAAAGTAATTTCCCAATCCGCTCATTTTAATCAACTAAAAGCAATGGAATAAACAAGGCAGAAGTTTTGCAAACACTGAAGGGGAAGTGTTCGGAGAGGATGCAATGGTACAGCAGCGAATAGTTTTATATGTATGCATGTATCTTACACATATATCCATATACATATAAAGAGGAAGAGAATTACAGCATGACATGACATTGGCAAGTTTGAGATTCTTCCTCCTGAATCCCCTGACTTATCAATCTGTACTTAAAGATATCTGAGAACAGTTTCAAAAGGGGAAAAAAAGAAAAAAAGGCACTTAACAAAGACAAAGGCCTGAATTGAGCATGTTTTAGAGGAGTAATATAAGCATTTTACCAGAGCTAAGAAATGATTTACAGAGTTAAACTTTTCCCCTTAAAATTTTATAAAATAAAGTTGCATAACATGTTTGTGATCATTTATCTACTACTGCACTTTTCTTCTGCGTCATTGTTACAAAAACAAAAGCCCCTCAAAAGCAAAAAACAAAACAAAAAACAATCATACATGCGCAATAGAAAGTAAAAGTGCCTCTTTTGAGAACATTACATCAGCAGACATTATAGTGCTGAAGCACAGGGAGAGTTCTCAAGTTTGGCCTGATTAGAGATTTTTCTCATTCTTCTATTTCCAACTTAAAAAACAAACATAACAAAAACCAACAAACAAAAAGCAAACACAAATTCAATACCTAAATTATAAAAACAATATAGGGACCAGTGTGCTTTTACGGTACACTCCTAAAATAAAGTATCCTAATTCTATACAGGGGTCAACTTATAGAATAAAACCTCCTAGAAATAAAGAACTGCAATTACATTAAAGTCAACCAATACAGGCAAAGTCCATTTTACAAATGTAGCAGCAAATATGATAGATAACTGGAGTTCTAAGAGATGATCCCAAAGGACATAGAGTTCTCATAATCAATGGCAGTTTGAATAACAGTAGAATTTTCATTTCAGAAAATGTCTTGAACCAAGTAGAGGTGGAAAGGGGTGTATGAGAGGGCAACTGGAGGAGAAAGACTGGAGGTGCCCTCCCTTACCCGTCATGGGTAGTAAACAATTTAGATCTGCTTTGGGAAAAAAAAATATCCTGGGTTAAATTTCATTTCCAATAAATTGTTTCCAAACAGGTGTCAAACCCACAGTACTAAAACGTGTATGTGCCCGGTTCTTCTCTTTACCTTGGTGATGCAATAAACCCCATTCAATGTCTATGATATAAAAAACATAATTTGGGCTAACAACATCCATCAAAGGGGTGGTGGGCATGAAAGAATGCACTAACACAATTCTCTGATTTTCCTTAAAGTATCAGGATTTTGTGACTACAGATTAACCTTACTTCTTTTCCCAAAACCTTCTTCTTCAGGCTGTCTTAAAATCATGATTTCAGTTACCATCTGACCTCAGAAGCATATGAAAAAGAATTCTAATCAACTTATAAAGGAAATTATTGCTTGCATTTATTCTGGAGGCTCTTAAGTGAGCTTGACACTTTGCTCCCAGTCTCCAACCAAGGCTCAGCACTGCTGTCTCTGAGGACAACTCTGCTGACCATTATTGCTTGTGAATACTGAGGATTAACTTGTATGTACAGTAACAGCTTATATATCAGTGAAGGCAATTTAAAACATAAGACAGTTGAAAACAAATAGCTTAATCTTCCTGAATCAAGAATCCCGCTGAGTGGGATGTAATTAAGTGTGCTGATTAATCCTACATTTGGATGTTGCTAATGCTCTTCAGAAATACACATTGCTCTATAGATATCCTTTCCAATTACTCACCTTTTTAAAAAATAACATAATTTGATTTTTAAGTGCAAAAATACAGTATGAGTCACAAGTCTCTGTGCTAAAAAATAACCAATTTATATGTTTGCTTTTTTAGAAATAAAAACTGTAAGGACAGGTGACCATAAAGTATGGACACCATTTTCAATGTTATGATCTAGAAAGAAAATAGGTTTGTATTTACATGGAGAAATTCTCTGATCATACTTTATCTACAAAGAAATGCAAGGATGCTTGGGTGATCTGTATAATGTAAAAGGGGGGTCTTGACTGAAATGAACGCAAGTGGTCTGTGAAAATGGGAGAGGATTGAAGGTGGGGATCTGACAGCAGTCCAATACTAAAGAGAACAGAACATAATCTCCATATTATATTCTAGGAGCCAAGGGCCTTCAGATGCTTCTACTGGTTAGTATAAAATGACACAGGGGGAAGAACTGATTATGCTGCTCTTTTCTAATGATGACAAAGAGTCATCAGTGATCTTTATATGACATGACTCAGAACTGATGGATTACAGAAATCAAAATTATTTTTTAACTCAAATTAGTCATTTATATTAATATATGTATGTGTATACATGTTCACACACAGAGATGAAAACATGTACAATTATCAGCAGGAAGAGAGATGAATATGTACTCTGACTTCTCTCCTGTAATGAGAAATAAAACAAAGGATACCTTCCCAAAGGAAAAGTCTCATCATTTACCCTAGTATTAGCAAAGACCTTTTGTTTTGTTTTTTTCAAATTTGATAAAAGCAAGAGGTCTGCTATATTGGAATAAATCAAGAATTGGGTAATTGAAATCAAGCAAACCTTAATCAAACACACTGAATTCAAGTCAAATCTGTCTACAACATCCTCCCCGTATCCTTCCAAAATACCTACTGGGGTTCATACAACATCTGTATTTGTTTTGTTGGAAAACTAAACTCTTAAAGTCAAAACTGTATCAATGATTCTTTGAAGTAATCTTTTCCCTTAACCGTAACAAGTTCTTGGAACTAAAGTTTTCAGTTATTTATTAACTTTTTTGCTATGAAGCAAGCCAATGTGACTTTGAAGTCAAAATATAGGCATACAGATCTGAATAGATCTGTGGTTATTTATTCACAGTCCTGTGGCTATCTGGGACTTTTGTCTGTAAAAAGGGCTTAGTTAATACTCTTATTTGAATAAACTTAATGGTATAGGGTAATAGATAATAAAATCACGCAAGAAATCTTGCTACTGCCATTCTAATATTGTTTTTTTAGGTTAGTCTGTCATTATAAATGGATGAAACTTACACCATTTGGAGCTTACACCATTCTTGGATAAAGTTTGAAAATATTCAGAAGCTTAAAAAACTAGAATGATCAAGAGGCAATAGAATACAATGTATCCAAAGAGAATTACGTTTCCCTTAATATCCTTTGTTGACTATGCTATCTGCATAAGGAAGCTACAATAACTAAGGAGTCTACTATCTGCAGGTTTACTCACACATCAATACTCTGAGTGAATATTAGTAAAGCTTTAGGATACCAAATGCTCCAAACAACTTCACTACACTGGCTATAGGGAGTAAACATACATTGTGATTATTATCCTGATGTAATTCCTCCCTTTAAAATACCATCTTAAAAATTCAAAAACTATACTCATGCCATTGAATGACCAGTGAAGAAACATAGTACACGCTTCTACCTGTTTATAGCAACAGCTAATAATCACCTGAAGTACCACTGGTTAAAAGAACAGAAGGGGAAGTTGGGAAGTGAGGTGACATCCTCACCTTACAGTTGGGGGAACTTACAGTTCATGCTGCTGCAAGGGCTAAGGACAACAAAACAGTAGCCCTATAAAGAACCCACTCTTCAAGAGAAAAATGTGAACACAGTCACACTTCAGCATCGAGAATGCAAAAAGAGTTAACCAGTCAATACCAGATGCACAAATCACCTGAAGAAAAGTTAAGTACCTGCTCTAATGGAAGCTGAAACTGACCCTCTTACAAAAAGGGGACACCTAGGTTTTGTCTGTTATGAGCAACAGGCTCAACTTCCTGACTTTAAAAAATTCAGATAATTTAATAAAATATATCACTGTGCTAAAGTAACTTTCTAGAAGCATTTTTAGTTTACTGATTTACATGGGGAGTTGCTACACACTGGAGAAGATTCAAGTTTGCTCAGGATTTTTGAGGGGACATTATTTCTTCAGCTACTGTCTGTATCAGACTTAGAGTCATTAAATTTTTTTGTGGCAAATCTGCTACATAGTCTACTCAAACAGACATGATCATTACTCCTGACAAACTGGCCTAATTCCAGATATATTGCCTTTTATTATGCAATTATGTCTACAAGTGTTCAGATCCAACCCCCAGGATGGATGGAGTTTACCCAAATCCTCTCAGCTTCCTTTGCCTCCCCGGGGAAAAATCAAATTTGTACTTTTGTGGGTTTGACAACTGAGTTTCTTTCAAGTCACTTAATATGGTAACTTTGTCTTTCTTGAGAAGAGACCAAGGTCACTAACTTTGCACAAAAGCATTTCTTCCTCCTGCACCTGGTTTTGCTCAAGTAATGTTTTCTTTTCTTTTTCCTCCTCACCACAGTGCTTGGGACGAGAGAATGTAAACATCGACAGAAACAGCAGCCCTATGACCACATAAGTACTTTCCCATCAGGTAGATTCCATCAGCCAAACAAGTGTTTCATCTCCTTTATTTGCTGGGAAGTCACTGAGATTTTCGTGGTAATTTAGTGTCCCCTTTGCTTTGGCCTCCATCTAAGAAAAAGAGATGTTAAATTGGTATGTGAATCACATGTTTAAAGAATTGATAAGAAAAACAATGCAAAAAGAACAATTAACTTTTAGTTTTTTGTGGATGATATCTCTGAAAAGATAACCTTTAATATCGTACATGCCACAGAGTGTTACTGAGATTGATTTTTAAAAATCAAGGAAAAGAAAACTCAGTGATGATCTTCTTATCCCTAATGACTGACTGAGGTTCAATTGGTTTTCAATGTCCTATAAATATTATGTCAACAAATATTTATTATTTATCTCCTAGTCAATTGTGTCAAATGCCATGAGAGGATATAAAAGAACCAAAAGGCACAATTTCCACTTTCCAGGGCCCCACCACATCTTTCTTATTCCTTTAGAAGATCAGGCCATTTGCATTAAGTGAAATCTTATTAAATGCAATCAAATTTATTGTCAGGATATAGCAATTGATAATAAATTCCCAATTATTTATATACATGAATGTAGCACACTAGCAGTGGGGGAAAAAACCCTAGCTGAGTCTTTGCTTTGGTCCTAACCTAGTTGTATGTAACAAGAAAGTCTGCTCCTGGAAACAATGGTTTCTTTTTAAGAGATGAGATCTTACTCTGTCACCCAAGTTGGAGTGCCGGGGTGCAATCATAGCTCAGTATAACCTCAAACTCCTGGCTCAAGTGATCCTCCCACCCTAGCCTTCTGAGTAGCTGGGACTGTAGGCACATATTACCATGCCCAAGTAATTTTTAAAGTTTTTTGTGTTTTTTTTTTGTAGAGACAAGGCCTTGCTATGTTGTCCAAGTTGGTCTAGAACTCCTGACCTCATGTGTCCTCAGGCCTTGGCCTCCAAAAGCGCTGGGATTATGGGCATGCGACACCGTGCCAGACTGCATGGTACTTTTTTGTTTGTTTTTAGTACAGAGATCTTTTATTTTTTTTATACCTAGTAAACCATGAATTCATAGGGAATAAGGTCCAGCAGCTCAGGATCCTTTCCACTGGTTTTCACAAAGTGTGCTTCTCTGGGTGGGACAGGCTAGTGGTTTCAGCTGAACTCAGATGCCTGCCTCCTTGTCCTCCTCCTTTTTCTGGTCATTTTCCTAAGCTATCTCGACTCTTAGAGTGTTTAATATGCTCAATACATACATTAGTTCTCTTGGCAAGAATCTTGCCCTTAACTTGTTTGTTAACAACAATGCCAATGCCAATAGCATGATGGGTAGGTAACACTGTAGACTTTCCTGTTTGTGGGACATTCCTTTTTGAACAGTATCCATTCTCTAATGTCTACAATATCACCTTTCCTGTAGACTTGCAAGTCTGTTGTCAAAGGAACAATTCATGCTTTCTAAACGGCCTGGAGAATATGTATTGGGTACCCCTTCTCTTTCCCTTTGCGTTTGTCATTTTGGCGAATTACTGGAAGATGGAGGTTCCAGTCAAAAGGTACAAGGAACTTCTTAAGTGGGATTTTGCTCAAAGAAGCTTTGGTTAATTAGCAAAATAAAATACTCATATTAACTGGACTGTGAGATTCTTTAGACCAGGTTTTGGTAAATTAGAGCCCAACAACCAAATCTGGTCCACTGCCTGTTTGTATATGTTTTGTTGGATCCCAGACACTCATTTGTTCAAATATTGTCAATGACTGTTTTTTACTACAACAGTAGAGTTGAGTAGTGATGCAGAGAGCATACAGCCTGCAAAGTCTAAAATATTTACTATTTGGCCTTTATAGAAAAATGTTATTGATCCCTGTTTTAGACTAGATAAAATTAAGAGAATTAACATTAATTAAGCTCTCTTTCTTTCTTTTTTTTTTAATAGAGACAAGGTCTCACTCTGCTGCCCAGTTAGTCTCAAATTCTTGAGCTCAGGCAATCTTCTCGCTTCAGCCGCCCAAAGTGCTGGGATTACAGGCATGAGCCCCTGTGCCTGGCCTAATTAAGCTCTTACTATGTGCCAGGTTCTGTGCTAGAAGCTTTAAGTCAGTTATTTTTTATTAAATTTCTCATAAGAAGTCTATTAAAAACATCTAGTTGTTCTCAGTTTATAAGCAAGTGATGTGACGGTCAAACAAATTAAGAAGCTTGCTCAATTTGGCAGTTCTGAAATTCAAAAATATCCAAGCCTGATTCTCAAATTGAGTAACTTATATTTTAAAATGTTTATTAAATGAAAACATTTTTAACTTCATTATTTGGAAAATAATGACAGACATACTTCCTTTCTCCTGTTGGAACCATGGTGCTGCCCAGACAATGAGGTAGTTCATTTAAGAGCCAAGTAACTGGGGTCTTTTTCAGTCATGAGAATCCTGCGTGTCTAATTTCTCACAGGTGGTTACATTCATGCCAACCTGCCCTGTGAGCACATAATCCTCAGCTGGACTCATCATTCCAGGCAGTTGGCACAGGGCAATTCTCTTTAAGCATTTAAACCCCATCAAGGAGTGCAGGAAGATCAGAGTTGCTGACATTTGTGCCTACTTTGTGTTACACATTTAAAACAACCCTGGCTTTATACTCATTCCCTCAAGGGTGAGTCTGGGACAGCTCACCACTTAGGTCTCTTGGAGGACTAATAACAATCTGTTGTTTCAAGATGACTACACAGTTCTCATCTCCACACTGGTCAATGGCAAACTGGTTCAAAGATCATTTTATGCAATGATCAAAAAGAATGGTGAGGCCCCAGTCAACTTCGAAAATTAAGAGGGCAGCAAATTAATTATTTCTGCTCAAAAGGCTCTGAAAATGGGCTCTAGTATAGTCTCAGCAGTCTATAGATGTCAACTGCTAGCAAGGGCAAGAAGCTGTAGAGCTCACTGCATACTATCAGACTTCAGATGATCTGACTGGGCTGCAAGCCATAATACATACAGTTTGGATATTAATGTAATCACTGCTAAGATGCAGAGAAGTTTAACAATACAGGCCCCATGGAGTCAGACTTTCTGGATTTGTATCTCAGATCACACACTTACTAGTAAACTATCTAGGGCACATTGCTTACTTCTTTGATTCGGTTTCCTAATCTGTAAAACGGGATTTGTCATCAACCATTCACACGCTTGTTGCAAGGAGTAAATTAGTTAATCCCTGTAAGCAGTCACGAGACTATTTGACACCTAGTAAGCTTTCGATAAAAGTAAACTATTATCATTAACACATGACTTTGTTAACTATCTCATGCATCCTCTTCTTAGTCATCATTTCCACATAATAAACATTTTTAAAAAGGCTCTTTTCATATATGACCGAAAAGCTTATTTACCCATTTCCATTCTCTTAAAAGGAGTTTGTTGCGTGTGAGGATTCAGTCATATGAAAATTTGCTTTTTCCAATCTTTGTCATTCCAAGCACAGTTTTCAGGAAAGTATAATCTATATCTATATCCTATACAAATCATTAAAAGAAGAAGAAACAGGTGGCTTTCTTACCGTTAAATGTTTGTTGTAAGTGTGTAGGCAGAGGTGAGTGGGAAAGTGTTGCTGCATGCTGAGCTCCTGGCTGTAAACCCTTTAGTAAATCTGAGAGGAAAACAGACTCGTCAGTCATTTTGACACTAAGACCTGAGACCTCTTAGATCAAAATTGAAAATAGTTCCTCTAATGGAGGCAGTCTCCGACTTCAAAACCATAGCACATATATTTTTTAAATGTACATATATTAATGTATATGTGTATGCAAATCACCCAACAAATCTATTTCTTATAAATGTCATTAAGATAGAAATGTGGTATACATGGCTTTTTAAAATCGTAAATACAATCCCAGAGTCCAATAACTTGACTTATTATATACAGATGAGATAAACTGTATTTCTTTAATCTTCATTAACTCCAACTGGACCATCCTAAATTAGAATAAACTGTGAAGTTTCCTTTTCTATCAAGCTAGACAGTCAATTAAATAGAAGAACCCACTTACTCTGAGTTAGGCTATGGTGGAGAGCGGCTGAGGTAGATCCCGAGGTGGTTGTCACTCCAGCTGTGTCCGTTCCAAAGCCAAGTAGCTCCAAGGGAAACTGGAAGGGCATGGTCACTGGAACTAGGCCACCCAGCATCCCAAAAGGAGTCACATTTTGATTTGTTACAGACAAAGGTGATGTCATGAGAGTCAGAGGTGAGGCATTAGCCAATAATGACGCTCCTGCTGTGGACTGTGCAGAAACCAGGGGTCAAAATACACAAGAAATAATGTATTTAAGCTAAATTGATTTATTTTATATAATATCCTTATGGATTTATGTCTTACACCTGCTCTAATAGCAACCTTGTGAAATGCATCTGTTGGGGCTCTGGAAACACTCACTTTCATCTTACAACCTCTCCTGGCACAACTCAGCAGGTGGTGTTCTAGACTACTGCTCTTTCAGAGCCCACAACTCTGTACCTTTACTTTCATTGCTTCACCTTAAGGAGATGAGGCCTTGCCAATGATCCTCATCACTAGCCTTACCTGCCTTTCTTCAAAGTCAACCACCTGATCTGTGCCATGACTCCTACCTTGTGAAACTTCATTGTACAAATCTCTAGTACTGCACCTTTTTCACATTTCCTCCACCTTCTCAGACACACAGACCTCATTTCTTTTTACAACCATGTTGCTATTCTGGTTCTTCCTCAACTCCTGGGAACAATCTAATGTATTTGTCTTCCTTTTGTTATCAAGCTGACTGAACGACAGTTTCCATTTTCCACATTTCTAGCCTCCTGTTAAGTCCTTGAAAGCTGGTGTCCACTTCTCTACTTCTCTGAAATCAGACTCCCTAGGATAAAAGGTAAATTTGAGAGTGTTTTCACACTGCCCCACCTGGGCTTGATGCCATATTTATGAATAAAAACATTTAAATCACAAATAGCTCACACCGATGAGCTTTCATAAGAAAATTACTTAAATATACTCCTTAAGCTGCTTTAATTCTTTTGGACAATTTTCTATATAGCAATCAAATCATCTTTTCCCACTTGACTTTCTTCTTTTCTATGCATATTTAACCACAAAGATTTGATACAATCAACTTTTCTCAGTATCAGCTAGTACCTATAATGGTTTCTGCCACTGTGAGTTTTCTTTTATAGTTAAATTTCCCTGGTCAAAAATCTTACAGTTCCGAATTTGATCAGGAAAACTGAATTTTTTGAATATTTAAAAAGTCAACAATAAATGTTAGCTATTGTTAGTTTTATTCTGTGTATTATTTCTACCAGTAAACATTAATAAAGGGCTGTTTCTTAGTTAACATATAAAGAAAATGCAGGCAAATTTCCTACATATATATGCCCACACTGCAATGTATACACTTACAGGCCTAAGCCACTGTTGAACAATAAATGAAGACTATCCTCCAAAAGTCGCCTGTTCTGGTTCTTCCACTCTATCTTTCATGGTTTCCCCTTCCTCATCTCCTTTGTTATCACTGAACTTTTTTTTTTTTTTTTTTTTTTTAAGAGACTGGGTCTCACTCTTGTTGCCCAGGCTGGAGTGCAGTGGTGCCATCATAGCTCACTACAGCTTCAATCTCCTAGACTCAAGCAAGTCTCCTTCCTCAGCCTCCTGAGTAGCTGGGACTACAGGCATGCGCCACCACACTCAGCTAATCTTTTTATTTTTTGTAGGTATAGGTATCCCTATGATGCTCAGGCTGGTCTCAAACTCCTGGTCCCAAGCAATCCTCCCGTTTTGGCCTCCCAAAGCACTGGGATTACAGGTGTGAGCCACCATGTGTGGCTTGCTATTACTGAAATTACATCCATAGTTCTGGTCTCTTATCTCAATTTCCTTCTTGTATATATGAGAGTTTAGTGACTAATTCCACTTGGGTATCTAACACCAACCTGACATACCTCAAACTGAAATCATATTCTCCACTCAGTTCTCTACCTTCTGTTAACTATTATCACCAAGTCTCATTCTTTCTAGTCACTAAAGTTTGAAATCTGAGTTTTCAGAGATCATAAAATAAAGGACCAGATGAGCTCATAATCAACAAAGTCATTCTTTCTCTTATGCTTAAGTACAATCTTCACCACTCCATGCCTGGACTTGACATCTTTTCTTATTTGCCAGTTTTTTCCTCTACTGTGTCAACTACAGTATACAAAATGGGTACATTTAGGAAAAAATTATCAAGTTAGAAATAATAATGTCTTAAAGCAACTAGGACAGAAAGGATCCTGTATTAATTTAAAAATTAATCAATATTATTTCTTCTTTTTCAACAAAATTCTATGCAGGCTTAGTGTGCTCCTAATGAGAAACATTAAATACTGCTAAAGAGGACCTTTTACAGTTTCTCTGGAGGAGTCTAACTGAAGCATTAAAATAGATGGAAAACATAAACTAGGATGATTTCCAAAATTAAATAACTTGAATATTAGTAATAAAACAAAGATACCTTGTCATAATTGTCTAACATTTTATACTTTCAAAAAACTTCCATATCCACCTTGTTTATAAATCCTGACTGAAACATCAGATAATCTCAATGTGACATACGCATTTATAAATTTCTCTAGAGAACTTTCAGAAGTGGGTATTCCGCTGCTGATATCACTTGAGCACATACAGAAGATGTCACCATGAAGTAAGTAAATAGTTCAGAATAATGCCCCATCATAAAAAATACTTTCCAGGACCTCCACATTTCATTCCCGGGGGAAAACATGAAAAGAACCGTCTTCTCATGGTGGACACTGTCTTTTTTTTAAATCACATGTTTTATTTTGGTGAGTGCATTGGTCTCCCATTCTCCACAAAACCCAGAGTGATCTTTGAAGAGTAAATCAGACTGTATCAGTTCCCTGTTTAAGAGCCTCTGACATGCAGAATACAATCCAAAGTCCTTATCGTGGTCCATGACATGGTTCTGATCTATCCCCATAGTCCAGTCATGCAGACCTTCCCTTCAGGCCCTTTTGAACCTCAGTGTCCTCATCCTACTGTTCCCCCTGGCCTACGCCGCTTTCCCCTTCTTCTCTCCACATAGCTGGCTTCTGCTTATTCAATCCTCAGCTCAAATGTTACCTCCTCAAAGAGATCTTCTCCAACTCCTTTATCTGCATTAGCAGCAATCACTCTCATCATACTATCCTAATTTTATTTTTTTCATAGCACTTACTACATTTTAAAAAACTTGTGTTTCGCTTATCTTCCTACTTAGAATATATGCTCCATGAGAGCAGGGACACTGAATATGCTGTTCACCCCTATTTTCCCAGCACCTAGAAGAGTGCCTGGCATATAGTAAACATTCAATAAACATTTGCTTAATGAATGAATGACTTTTGGAATTATAAAGTGGCAAAGACAGAATTCACAGAAAATCTGTAAGTGGAAGGGTAAGAAAGAAGAGGAAACCCTTGGGTAGAAAGTCATGAACTACAAAGCAGGTCAAGTTAATAACTTGAACCCAGAAAGATTTTAACTTTTGTCATTTGTTAAAGGTCCTATCATTTCACTCTGCAAAGATGCTTTTTAGATAGAAGGTGAATGCTTTGCAGGCATAGATAGGAAATCTGTTTCAGTGTTGGAGAGTTACAGATGGGATCTAGAGGCCACACTGTAGCTGGTAAGACCTTGATGAGATGCTATGTTAAAACAAAAAGAACTTTAGGCTCACAACCTTATTTAATTAAGACAGGAAAAAAAAAAAACCCAGATCAGATATGAAGGCAGGAATACTAGGGTCTCCATATCATAAAGTCATGTGGAAGAGGAAGAAAACTAGGAGAAAATAGTTACTTTTGATAAATACAAATTTTGCCATGCAGCTTCCTGCTGATTAAACTAATGACTTGTTGACAGTATATGGGTTCTTCTGGGAATAGAATGATCAGATACAGGTGGTCTCTGGGAACAAAACAGACTGACAGATTTTGGAGATGACAAAGGATGAAGAAAGATTTAACTTTAGATTCAAAGAAAATAAAGCAAGTAAAAATAAAAAGCAATGTTTAACCAGGAAAAAACCTCAAGTTTATAATAAAATTGATAGTATCAAGAATTTTCCATTTATCATTCTTATTTAAAAATATAGAGAAGAAAAAGCTCAGAGTCAAAGGTAGCTAACATTAGAAGGAGGATATGGGATAGGAACTCCCATTTATTTATGATCCTTTCACCTATGACTTTGATCAAATTAAAGATTAATTTTAAAGAGAGTCAACTTTTTAATAAAGATAATGTAATAAGTACTGTGACTAACTCTCAGACTTTACAGTTAACTTTTAATATATATCCCTAACATCAGTTTGTTTATTTTCTTATTTCTCATGAAAGCAAAATTATATTGACAAAACATTAGTTAATCCTAGATTTCAATTAATAAAGTACCAGTTAATTGAATTTGTTATACATTAGAAATCTGGCATCAAGTCACTCCTAAGTCTATTTTAGTGGCAGAATAATGATTCAGGTATTAAATGTATATTGAATGCCAATCCACTGTACTGAACACCAGAAAATCTCCATATACAACAAGGAGAAAACGCTTTGAGTAGATTTCCCTATTCTACATAAATAGGAGACAGTAAAAAGACAATGTATTAGACAACAGAATTTCATAAATCAATAAAATCACATTTTCAAAGAATAATTAAGAACCTAAGAATCACACATCATAAAATGGTATTTTAAAAAAACTGGCTACAAAACAAAATACTACATAAAACACCCTTTCTTGAAGAGTCTTAAAAAGTATCCACACAGCATAATCAGTGTTGGGAAGGTAGGTGATTTTTATTTTCATTTTTCTAAATTTGCCTACAGTGAACATGTAGTACTTTCAGGGGGAAAAAAATTTTTTTTAAACCAAATAATTAATGTGAAAGACAAATCTGACAAAATATGAGAATACAAAGAAGTGGCAAAGAGATGAAGATAATAAAAGATGATATGAAAGACAGAGAGATGAAACAGATGACTAATTAAGTTATCAAAAAAAAAATCCAGGATAAACAGCTGAGCATGGTGGCTCACACTTGCAATCCCAGACTTTGGGAGGCTGAGGTAGGAAGATTGAGCCCAGGAGTTCAAGACCAGCCTAGGCAACATAGCAAGACCTCGTGTCTACAAAAATAAAAAATTAACCAGGCATGGTGGCACACACCTGTAGTCCCCAGTTACTCGGGAGGCTGAGGCAGAAGGATCATTGGAACCCAGAAGGTTGAAGCTGTGGTAGCCGTGATCGTGCCACTGCATTCCAGCCTGGGTGACAGAGTAAGACTCTGACTCAAAAAACAGCAACAACAACAAAAAAACCAAAACGACAAAACAATAATAAATAGATCAGAAACAACAATCAGACACATAATAGAATAAAATATTCTTGAGCTAAAAAGTATAGCCATGTCTGAGACTGAAGGTGCTACTATATTCTAGGTACAAAATTAATCAAAATGAGATAAACTAGCTATAATCTGGGAACACTTGCATTTCAAGGAAAAAGAAAAAATCTTACTAGTATTTAGGCAGAAAAAACACATTATTTATAAGAGGGAACACCCCCCAAAGAATGGCCTCTATATGACTTTTCTTCAATGACTTCTCTATAATCCTAAATAGTAAGCAAGGGTTAGTGGAGCAATATTCACAAAATTTGGGTTAGAACTTTTATGACCCAGGAAGTCTCTACGTACTTAAGTATGACAACACAGAACTAAATCAGCATATATACATGAGCTAAGGGAAGATACCATTCATGTTACCCTTCTTGAAAAGACTCTTTGAGTGAGGCATTCCAGTTAATTGAAGGACGCATTTTTATTTTTATTTTTAATTTTGAGTTGGAGTCTCACTCTGTCACCCAGACTGGAGTGCAGTGGCCGCTCCCGGCCACTGCAGCCTCGACCTGCTGGGCACCGGCGATCCTTCCACCTCAGCCTTCCAAGTAGCTGGAACTACAGGTGCGCACTACCACGCCCAGCTAATCTTTGATTTTATTGTAGAGATGAGGTCTCACCAAGTTGCCCAGGCGGGTCTCGAACCTGTGGGCTCAGGCAATCCACTCACCTCAGCCTCCCAAAGTGCTGGGATTATAGGCTGAGCCACCAAGCCCGGCTAGGACGCATTTTAATTAAAAACTCATGAAGGGTCATATTAAGGTATCAAAAGACTACTGACACTAATGGTGAAACAGAGAATTACATATAACTACAAAACTACCACAAAATAAAAAATTTATTTGTGAAGATAAATGGTTAATGAAAAAAAATCATGAATTTAATTTAAATCTGGTTTAAATTAAAAAATAAGAAAGTTGGCAGGAGAAAAAGGGAAACAGAGAGACAAGTGAGTATATGTTACTACACTGTTCTGGACTTTGATGAGAGATAGCTTAAATATGTGCTTTAGTTGTGTTTTTTCACAAAATTCTAAAGTGAGCGTGTGATTCTTGTTACATTAAAAAAAAAAATCCACATTCCAACAAAATCCTTGTCTACATGTGTGCCTGCCACTGTGATACCAAAATCAGGAACATTCCATGACCACAGGCTACAATAAGCCTATTGATAAGCAATCCACATGTTATAAGACACTTATCAAAGTGACCCACAAGAAAAGACCACACAATCTTACACTTGATCACATGAACATACAGAACATACATACCTGCACACTGGCTGTTACTACCGAAGACCCTGAGGCAGAGGATGGTCTATGTGGAGTAGACAACGGTTTAGTAGCACCCTGTATTCCACTTCCTGTTCCCCCAGATAGACTAGTCCTATTAGCTCCACTTGAGTTAAGGTTGCTACCTCTGCTGGCAGGTACATTCATTGTAATTCCACTCAAGCTATTCTTTCCAACAGTTGCAGTGGATGATGAGTTTGTTAGCTTTGAAGGGGCCTGAAGATTTTTTGTAGACGAAAGGCCTGAAGTGCGATTAGAGGACAACAAATTCAAGGTGGGAGACTGTCTACTGATGTTAATTCCACCAGGCTGTTTATGGACTGGGTTGTTACTGCTGGAGTGGCTACTCTGGGCTACTAGTGCATTTGGACTGGAAGAGCTTGGGGATACAGTAGGCTTGGGAGTTGAGTTGGATTTAGAAATAAGTTTAGTTGATACTGAAGGCTTAGCTGACAGGGGGGGCTTGGGTGAGGCAGAAGGCTTAGGCGAGGGCAGGGGCTTCGGAGACGTGGCAGGTTTGGGAGATGCGGCAAGTTTGGGGGATGCAGCCATTGTGAAGGGAGATTTGAAACCCTGCGTGGAGATTTGTGACACCATAGCCTTGGCTAAATAGTTACTGGAGGTAGTGGTGCTAGGTGCTGTCCTAGAAACCAGGGAATGGGACCCTTGAGAACCATTTCCAGATGAGGGGGTAGACAAGGGAAGGCGGTAAATAAGTGGCTTGTCTGAAGTCTTAATAAGTGGGGATGAGCAGGAGAGTTGGGGATTATTACTTAATTTCACCACTGGGTTGGTTTGTGATTTACTAATGGTTGCTTGTAATGGAGACACATAGTTCTGTTGGACAGCTGAATGCTGGTGCACCTTTGTTACTTGTGTTAGCGAAGAAGCATCATGGGCCTCGGGTGTTCCCAGAGCATGAGAAGAGGCAGCAATTTGGGCTTGGGAAGAAGAGGAGACGTGAGTCTGTGAAGAGGAAGAAGCGTGAATCTGGCTTGACCTCTGCAGTCCTTGCTGAAGTAGCCTGGCTGGCAAAGGTTCTAAAGAAACTTTAGGGTTCTGAATTGAAGAACCAGCAATAAGGCCTGAAGAGATGCCAGTATGAGCTAAATCCTGGGGTTTCTTTGGTACTGGTCCTGTGTGACCAGCAATAAGACTTGAAGAATGTGCAGTCTGAGTAGAATCTAGTTTTTTGGGAGTGGCCAGTGGCAGCTTACTCATGATACTTGCGAGCTTTTCTTCTCTCAGTCCTGGGCGAGGCTTTGTAGTTGTCATGCCTATCCTTGAACCAACTGGAGGGCCCTTGTTCCCATTGTTGATAACAGCTAAAGCTTCAGAAACCAGATCCAGTGAAGGTGAATGGAAAGAAAGGTCTTCATCTAATGAGTCATCGAGGCAGATGGTTTCTTGGGATGGTGCGGAGCTAGCACTGGCTGCAGCAACCACAGATGTGCTGGAGCTTGTTGGAGGACCGCCAGCTGAAGCCACCATGGACGCAGGAGTTTTCTGGTCCTTTTTGGGACTACACTCCTGGCATACGCAGCATCGTATTGGGAAAAACAGAAATGGTTAATAAAAAAATTACCAAGTTAAATTTAAAGAACTAAGAAATTCTCATGACAAAATTGTCTTTCTACTGAAAATCTTTATAGATTATTAAAAAACCAGAATAATTTTTGGGAGGACAGAGTTCCTAACTAAGCTATGATCACTAAGCAAAATTTCTGATATACAGCACATAGCCACCATGTCTCAGTAAGCGATTCTAAGAGGGCTGAAAACCAAGCAGAAGGAACATTCACAGATTAGTTACATTACTGATGAGCTCTCCTCTGCCTAACTGTATCAGATCTTCAGATCCTATTCCAAATACATCTGTTCAGAGACTAGTCTTTTTATTCTCTTTATACTAAGGAGAAATTCTGCCTTTATATGAAGGCTCTCCCTCTCCTGTCTTGTATGGTTTATGAGGATGCTGACCCTCCCTTTCTGCTTTCCTGAGTTTCTTCCTCTTTGTATGTCCTGTTCTGCAGCTACCTGCAGCGGGTACAAAGAGAAACCGGTACATCAAACTTGCAGATGAGTCAATCCAAGCATATGTAAATTATGTTTTTTATTCATTATGGTGAATTTGTAATTTATTTGTAAATTACTCATTTGTAATTTATTCAACATATATTTACTAAGCATCCACTACAGCAAGGGCATTAAGAATTAAAACTCTGGGCCGGGCTCGGTGGCTCAGCCTGTAATCCCAGCACTTTGGGACGCTGAGGTGAGTGGACTGCCTGAGCCCACGGGTTCAAGACCCACCCAGGCAACTTGGCGAGACCTCATTTCTACAATAAATCAAAAATTAGCCGGGCATGGTAGTGCACTCCTGTAGTTCCAGCTACTTGAAAGGCTGAAGCGGAAGGATCACCGGAGCCCAGTGGTCGAGGCTGCGGTGGCCGGGAGTGTACCACTGCACTCCAGTCTGGGTGACAGCGTGAGACTCCAACTCAAAAAAAAAAAATTAAAACTCTGAATATCTGAAAGAATCTAAAAGAATACTGTCTGTCTTCTCAAAAGAATCAATCCTCTTGAATTCAAGAGATAATAGAATTAGAGCATAGTTTATAATATTCAAAGAGCAAAGAATGAAAAAGCAACAATTTCTTTTTTTAAAGTATACAGTATTTCACTCATTTCATTTTTAAGATTAAGAAGAAAAAACTATATAAAAGTCATTTCACCTCTTCAATTAGTTTCTTAAAAGCAAAGAAACCCAAACCCTGAGTGTTATAATATTGATTATACAACATAGCACTTACCTTCAGCATAGTGGGGAAAGAATGGAGAGGAAGGGTCTTTACCATCACCTCCTAAGGTATTACAGTAAGTAAGCTGTTAAGAATGCTGTTACACTCTAACTTCCTAAGCACTTTTTCTAAGTTTATATTCTAAAACTCCAATTAAAAATCTCACTGTCTACCAGAAGTACATGGTATAATTGCATTAAGTTCACAATTGTCTGCTAAGATAAATGAATAATGCAGATGAAACAAATGTTTGTTTTAACAGGCCATCCAATGATATGATTAGTAAAAATTCCATCATTATAAAAAGTTCAGCACTGAAGGTGAGAAATTTATCAGAATACTGGAATTATTACCAACATAAAATTGCTGTTTTAAATAATTTTTATTATTAACTTTCTTATTTATAAAAATAACATTAAATCCACCCAATAGAACACGGTGTAACTTTATATTGGCAGAGAAAATTGTTCAACATATACAATTGAGTCAAAACAGCAGGTTATCCCATTTATAAAGAATGTTAATTTAATAAATGGACAGCTCCTGGGACAGATGGATGAATAAATGAATGGAAGAGACAAAAGAACAGAGATCCAGAAGAAGCGATGGCAGATGTGTACCAGAAAGTCAAGAGTTTTTATTCTCTGCATGAGGAGAAATTTCTGGACACTTTTACTTTTCTTTTTCTTACTTTTCTGTATTATTTGCATTTTCTATTGTAAATTATTTCCTTATATTGCTTTTTTTCTTCATTTTTTTAGAGATAAGGTCTCACTTTGTCACCCAGACTGAAGTACAATGGTAAGATCATAGTTAACTGCAGCTTCGAACTCATGAGCTCAACTGGTCCTCTTAAGTCTTCCAAGTAGCTGGAATTACAGGTGTGCATCAAAATGCCTAATTTTTAATTTTTTGTAGAGAAGAGGGTCTTACTTTTTGCCCAGGCTAGTTTCAAATACCGGGGCCCAAGCAATCCTACTGCCTCAGCTTCCTAAAGTGCTGGAATTACAAGTGTGCACTACCATGCCTGGCCCTTATATTACACCTTTATAACTAAAAAAGGTATGGAGGAATAAGGTAGGAAAAAAAACACATCAACAATATAGTTTCCCACTTGGGAAAAGGAAAAAGTTATTTAATTATAAAAGCAAACAAATAAATCAACTAATTCCCCCATATCATCCTAACATATCCATTATTAGAATTCCAATAAATTTCATACCCAATTATTCTATTAATTATATGTTAATATGTATCAAAATTTAATCAATCCTTTATGGAGGGGTATTATGAGTTTAATATTCTAATAAAAACAAAGTTAAAAGTCAAAATACAGTCTGAATCCAACAGATTTAATGAAGGATTAGCTCAATATTATTTGCATTAGAAGATAAAGTAGGCTATTTTTATTTTTATTTTATTTTGACCAAGAAAAAGAGGACTATTTACTCTGTATTCAGGGAGGCTCTAACACCAAAAGTTATGATGGCCACAGAGTAATGAATTCTGGCCTCCTGGCCTTGGCTTTATAAGCAAAAGATTCATCTATTCAGCGATAAAGCATGTAAGCACTTATGAAAAGTTTAATTTCAAATTATTATAGTTTTTACTTCTAGAGTTTATACTTGGTTCTCTTTCAAATCTGCTTCACCTATTTTGATAGGATATTTTTAGTCTTTATTTTTTCTTTTTTTTTTTTTTGAGTGGAGTCTCACTCCGTCACCCAGACTGGAGTGCAGTGGCACGCTTCCAGCCACCGCAGCCTCAACCTGCTGGGCTCCGGTGATTCTTCTGCCTCAGCCTTTCAAATAGCCGGAACTATAGGTGCGCACAACCACGCCCAGCTAATTTTTTATTTATTGTAGGGACGAGGTCTTGCCAAGTTGCCTGGGTGGGTCTTGAACCCACGAACTCAGGCAATCTACTCGCCTCAGCCTCCCAAAGTGCTGGGATTACAGGTTGAGCCACCAAGCCTGGGCTGGATATTTTTATTCTTTCTTCTACTTCTTTAAATATTAAAAAAATTTAAGAACAATTATTTTATGTTCTAAAACCAAGAAATTCACCACTTGTTCTTCTTAGGAATCTAATTCTGTTTACTGTTTCTACTGACTCTTACTCTTAGTAACTTATTCCCTCATGCATTCGGTATTTCAGACCGCAAGCTCAGGTTTGACATGGTTTATATAGGTGATAAGCCTTCGAGGCTTAAGAATAGGGCACAATACACCAGGGAGAATTTGCTTTGCCAGTTGCCCTGAATTATTACTAATCCAATAACTTTAGGTTACTCTCTCAGTTTTGGGTTTTCCCAAATCGTAAAGGTAATATAAATTGAATTCTTAAACCAGGGAAAATTTTCAGGGAGTGCTTTCTTCCCCCCACTCCAGCATCCAGGCCAAGACAGGCACTTTTCTTAATCTCTGCAGGGGAGAAGAGGGTAGATTTTTTTCTAGTCCTTTCTTTTACTAAAGATGTTATCCTGTGAGGCCCAGCTTTATGCAGGTTTCATCCCAATTTCTAACCGGTACAAGCCCAAGAAAACTCTATCTGCTATGCTCTGAGAAGAAATGTAAATGTAAAAAACCATAATGTGACAGGTAGAAAGTGGCAAATGCCCCCAAGAGCAACCAAAGTTTATGGACAGAGTTTAATACTCTGTCCAGCTGCTTCTTTATTTTGGCCTTAGGAATTTCTCTTATATAGCTGCAATCTCAGCTAGGTTTCTAAATAATATTTGATACATTTTATCCAGCATTTCTAAGTAGAATTAGGCTTTACGATTCAATTAATGTATGCAAACATCCCACGACTACACATTTATTCTCCTAAATACAAAGGTTCTAGGATTTTTATAAAGTTGAAAACACATCCATCTTATAGTACCTATAGATCTTTGCTAAATATCATGCATCTTTTCACCTTAAGAATGTATCTCAACATTCACCAATTATGACTAAGTAAAGATTTGGTTCAATTCTTACCTTTACTTTGGGTTTAGGTGCAGGAATCACCTTTTTCTTTGCCCTACGATGAAAGATGAAAAAGAAGGCCATTTCAGTAGGAGTATACCACTCATTAGAAAATTCTAATCCTTTTAATTATGGGAGTAAATAATTTCTTCTGGTAGATGGTAAAAAAGGGTGATAACTAAAAAAAAAAAAAAAAAATTCCTTCTGCTATTTGTAAAACTCTTTGAAGGAAGAAATGAAACTATATGTAAATGCTCAGTTTATTTATTCATTTTTATTTATTTATTTATTTGAGTTGGAGTCTCACTCGGTCACCCAGACTTGAGTGCAATGGCCGCTCCCAGCCACCGCAGCCTCGACCTGCTGGGCTCCGGCGAACCTTCCGCCTCAGCCTTCCAAGTAGCTGGAACTACAGGCACATGCTACCACGCCCAGCCGATTTTTTGATTTATTGTAGAGATGAGGTCTTGTCAAGTTGCAAACACTCAGTTTATATGTGAATATATAGCAACATTTTTCCCAGTTAAGATTAACTTAAAGGTCAAACAATTACTAGAATATTAAATGCAGATGATAACTTTTTAAAAAGTTAAATGTTGGTGGTTCATGCCTGTAATCCCAGCACTTTGGGAGGCTGATGCAGGGAGAACACTTGAGCCCAGAAGTTTGACACCAGTCTGGACAACAAAGCAAGATTTGTCTCTACCCACCCCCGCCCCTCAAAAAATGAGCATGGTGGTGCTACACCTTACCCTAGCTACCTGGGAAGATGAGGTGGGAGGATCACTTGACCCCAGGAGTTTGAGGCTGCAGTGAGCTATGATTGTGCCACTGCAGTCCAGCCTGGGCAATAGAGTGAAACCATCTAAAAAAAACTAAATGTAAATACATAAAATATAAAATAACTTAAAACAGGCCAACAAAGCTGGCTAAGGAGACTCGCTTTTAAAAAACTGGTAAAAATCTACAATTATTTGTCAGAAAACAGAGTTTCAAGGATCTTCAAGCTCAAATTAAACCATGCCAAGAAATTGTGAATAAAATTTAACTTTAAAAATTCCTAAGTTTTAAAATAAAATTATTTAATATAAAAATTCAAATAAAAATGTCAAACTGATAGGAAAAGAGATAACAGCAATTACTATGGAACTTCAGAATTTTTTTTTTTTTTTGAGTCGGAGTCTTATTCTGTTGCTCAGGCTGGAGTGCAGTGGTTCAGGCAATCCCTTCCAGCTCTGCCTTCCAGGTAGCCTACCATGCCCAGCTAATGTTTTATTTTTTGTAGAGACGAGATCTCGCCAAGTTGCCTGGGTGGGTCTTGAACCTGCAGGCTTAGGCAATCCACTTGCCTCGGCTTCCCAAAGTGCTGGAATTACAGGCTGAGCCACAGAGCCTGGCCCCTCAGAAATTTTGGAAACCAGCATGAAAAAGTTTGAAGATTAAAAAAATTTACAGTTTTCATGATAATAGAAAGTATTCTATGTTTGTTAAGTAATTAAACCCACTGAAAAGCAAAAATATCTCACCTTGTCTGATATTTCTACTTCACTAAGTTAAAATGTCATCAATTATAATAGATTAACAGGTATCTTGACTAAAACTGCCAATTTACAACTTCATTAAGGCAATAGTAATTTTCAAAGTTTTTTTTACAAAGGCCAGTTGGGCAAAAGACCTCCAAGTCCACCCATCCCATAGATTTCTAATTTCTGGTATAAAAACAAAACACAGTTAGTGATAATAATGAAACTACATATGTTAAGAACAAACAAAACATCAACGAAGGGAGAGGACCTAAGTAAACACCTTTAGAATGAAAAGGAATGAGTTATTTATTTATATGTAATACATATGTGATTTTAGAACTACAGTAGCCCCCTTTATCTATTTCTATGGTTTCAGTTACCCTCGGTCAACCGAGGTCTGAAAATATAAAATAGAAAACTCCAGAAAGAGAGAAACCACATTCATATTTTATGATAGCATATTGTTATAATTGTTCTGCTTTATTATTATTGTTGTCAATCTCTTACTGTTCCTGATTTATAAATTAAACTATCATAAGTATGTATGTTCAGGAAAAAACAGCATATAGAAGGTTTGGTAATATCTGCAATTTCAGGTATTCATTTGGAATCCTGGAAAGTATTCACAGAGGATAAGTGGGAACTACAATACTGGGAAATTAAAGCCATAAATGCTATTGACACAAATATATATATTTAAAAATATATGTGTTTTATATATATATATATAAAATTTACTTCAAGGATAACAAAACCACTTGCAGCAAAGTAAATCTATAATGTATAAGACCAAACTACTTAAAATTTATTCTAAAATAAAAAGAAGTAAGAACTGAAAACCACAACCAAATTCAATATATCCCTGATGCTATCCAGTTGACACCTGAACAACAGGGATTTGTACAGGTCCATGTACATATGAACTTTCTTCTGCCTCTGCCACCTCTGGGACAGCAAGGCCAACCCTTCCTCTTCCTCCTCGTCCTACTCAATGTGAAGACAAAAATAGAGATCCTTACGATGATCCACTTCCACTTACTGAATAATATATTTTCTCTTCCTTATGATTTTCTTATTACCATTTTCTTTCCTCTAGCTTACTTTACTGTAAGAATACACTATATATTACACATAACATACAAAATATGTATTAATGAACTATCTGTTATCAGTAAGGGTTGCAATCAACAGGAAGCTATTAGTAGTTAAGGTTTTTTGGGAGTCAAAAGTTATAAGTGAATTTTTGACTACACGGGGCAGTTGGTACCTCTACCTCTCAAGATGTTTCAAGGGTCAGCTCTACTAACAGAGTCCTTCCTAGGACTAGAAAATTCCTATCTAACTGTATTCAAGGAAAGGAGGAATTTATTTTATTTTATATTTTTTTGAGTTGGAGTCTCACTCTGTCGCCCAGACTGGAGTGCAGTTGCCACTCCCAGCCACCGCAGCCTCGACCTGCTGGGCTCCAGGGATCCTTCCGCCTCAGCCTTCCAAGTAGCTGGAATTACAGGCATGTGCTACCATGCCCGGCTAATTTTTTGATTTATTGTAGAGATGAGGTCTTGCTGCCCAGGCAGGTCTCGAACCCGTGGGCTCAGGCAATCCACTCACCTCAGCCTCCCAAAGGTGTGGGATTACAGGCTGAGCCACCGAGCCCGGCCTGAAAGGAGGAATTTATAAAGTTATCCAAAAGATGTTAACCAAACCTGTTAGCAGAATACTGGATTAATGTTTAGTAAGTTCTCAGTAACTTGCTAATTTTATTTATTTACTTATTTGTTTGTTTGTTTTTCAGTTGGAGTCTCATTCTGTCGCCCAAGCTGAAATGCTGTGGCACACTCACGACTACCACAACCTTGACCTGCTGCGCTCAGGCGATCCTTCTGTCTCAGCCTTCCAAGTGGCCAGAACTACAGGTGCATACCACCATGCCTGGCTATAATGTTATATTTTAGTAACCTTTAATACTAAATGTGTATGCTACAGAGAAGTAGCCCTAAATGGTAAGTAAAAAACAAAAAACTCTTGTGGAGTTGACCAATAGTCATCCAAAAATGTAACCACAGAAAAAACTTGCCTATTTACCATATGTCAAGGGATAAAAAAATCTTCCTCTAGTAATCACATCACTATGGAAACATCCAGTTTTGAACAGAGGGAAGGACATGGAACATAGGTTAATTTTGTGGAATAAAACACTGCAAGGCAAGGATAGTAGGTATGTAGATGGATCTGTCCTGGTAAGCTTAGGGCAGCAAAGGGCTGTAGGTTACTCATGCAGAGGGTCAACAAGAGGTGGAGAAACAGCATACAAAAAGACTGAAAGGTAGAAGTCTCAGAACAAAGAAAAATCTGAGCCTTTCTGATTCCAGAACTCCCTACTACTAGAAGCAAAGGTCAGTGTGGATTTAGGTGTTTGGAGAGTAAACTGACAAGTATTTTAATAAATCAGTGTGTTCTGAAGCCTATACAGTCAAGTCAAAATGTTTTTTTTGAAGATGGTGGTAAAAGGGGGATTGCCTAAATGTATATTTAAGTCCTATTTCAACTAGTATGTAATAAATGATACTTTTTCTTTGCTAAAGCACATTATGTGAATAAAAGTAAATGAAGTCATCTGGAGTCTGCATTTACTCACGGAGCAGAAGTAAGATGATTATGTACACTTCGACTTTCTTTAAAAAGCATTCTGGAAAAATTAAAAGGACACAATTAATATGATTGTTTTATTTATTTTTGCAATCATTTGATTTTTAATAGGCTATCACTTGCATTTTTATCAAGTAAAAGTTGCAGCATGCTCAATACTCTATAAAGAGGTACAGCATGCTCAATAATCTACTTTATAAAGAGTTTTGTATCACTTCTATTTGTTGAAATCTTTTAATAGATCAGTAGAGCTTTTCTGCAGATTTAAGAAAGAGCACTTTAAGATCATGAATTTAAATAGCCAAATTTATCAATTTTTACATTCTTTACTTGACTTTTGAGACTTTAAATAATAGGGCTACTCTTAGTTTCTTGAGATATCACTCTACACTGAATATTTTCTTTTTCTTTTTTTTTTTTTTTTGACTCAGGGTCTTACTCTGTCGCCCAGGCTGGAGTGCAGTAGCACTATCACAGCACACTGTGGCCTCAAACTCCTGGGTGCAAGTGATTCTCCCACCTCAACCTCCTGAGTCAATGGGGACTAGGCGTGCACCACCAAACCCTGCTAATTTTTTGATTTTTGGTAAAGATGAGGTCTTGCTATGTTGCCCAAGCTGGTCTTGAACTCCTTGGTGTGAGATTATAGGTGTGAGCCACCATAACTAGCAACACTTATTTTCAACAGAATCTAAGACTGTGTCTCTTTTCCTATGCTCTAAATCCTCTAATCAGTTTCTTATCTTCTTCAATTACCCATATAAAGTTCCTCTCCCAAAGTTTATAACCTTCTGTAAGTATTCCCCTTTCTGTTGTTCTCTACTAGCAAATTTAGATACAAAAAGGAAAACATCATCAGTTAAAAAAAAATCTCTACTATGTCTATCTCTATATCTCTATACCCACATGACTAACTGTTCTGTCACTTAAGTGCTTGAGGTTTTCAAAGCAAAGATTATTTGGATACTGAACACATTAGGTTCTCAGTGAAATCAATGTAATATGTGTGTATATCTTTAATAGCAATAATAAGAAAATAAAATAAAAACTGGGAAGTCACATTTCTTACCTTGCCTGCATCCAGCCCTTAGGCCACAAGGGCTTCACCTCTGTCTCCATAAAGGATTTAAGATAATCCTCAGCAGACTGGCTTTTATTTGGCTCTAACTCATAGCATCCCAATTTGATCTCAACAAGGTTACATAACAAAGTTCTAAACAGATTGAAAATATATATATTTATATATAAATCTGACTATAAAACTGTAGAAAATTAAGTCTGAAACAGATTTTTACTGAATGCACATAAGTCTGATAGCAATAACATAGAATATTATCTGAAGACTTCAAAAAATGACATGAAGTTAAACAATTTCTAATACATTCATTGCATTTTGGTCAAACCCCCAATATTAAGCAATTTCCTTTGATATATTTATCAGTAAGGTACCAAAGATTAAAAGGGACAGTTCTTTACCTGGGGTTTTAAAAAACTGGTAAGAAAAGATGGCTAAAGAAATAAGTACACCTTCTGGAACCAATATGACTTACCCTATTTAGAAGATTAGCTTATCAAAAGTATTACAGTGTATATGAAAATAAAAGTGATAATATTCTAAGGATGTTAGGACCAAATTAATCTTCTCTTGAACAATATTTTCCTACATACTAATGTTTGGTTGCTTCCTATCTAGTTTAATATTTATCACAGATTCTTTTTTATAAGGAGCCTTACTGCTGCATAATATATTTGGTTAAAAGTGAATGCTGATTAAATCTTACCTGATGGTATCATCCCAGTGGAATTTCTTTCTTGGTCCTATAACACGTTTCCCAGGTTTCTCATCATCATCTTCCTCAGATCCATTTTTTTCTCGGTCTTCATCTGTTTGCAATCTAAAAAGGAAAAATATTTTATGGCGCAAAGTTTTAATCCAGCATTGCTTGTAACAAGTTCCATAAACACTTGAATTGTTTAATTGAATATTAACTCAAAAGACAAAGTAAATAGAGAATCTACCTTTCCACATAATACCCTTAATTTGATGAGTGTTAAAATAGTTGATAAATAAGGTCTTCAAATGGAAAACAGTGTGGTGATTTCTAAAAGAACTAGAAATCGACCTCCCATACAATCCAGTAATCCCCCTTCTGGGAACATACCTGGAGGAACTCAAATCATTCTACAAAAAAAAAATACCTGTGCATGCATGTTTATTACAGCATTATTAACAATAGCAAAAACATGGAACCAACCATGCTGCCAATTGAAACTGGTCTGGGTAAAAAAAATGTAGTTCATATACATGATGAAATATTATGCAGCCACAAAGAAGGACAAAATTAGGAACTTCGCAGCAACTTGGATGGATTTAAAGTCTATCATACTCAGTGATCTATCACAGAAACAAAGAACAGAGTACCATATGTTCTCACTTATAGGCAAACCCTGAACATTCACCATAATAATATAAGAGATTGGCAGTAGCAAGAATAACATCAATAAGAGTACCTGATCTCAAACCAGGTGAAGTGGGGACCGAAGGGAGGCTCAAACTTTACCTGTACAATGACCACTTGTATACTTAAACCTGAATTGTATCCCACATCTTTTAAAAAAGAAAAAGAAAAAAAGAAAATATTTGTGTTCCACCCCAGCTAGTAAAGTTCGTCAACATGTGAAATGTCTGACCAGTATCAGCTCTTGCCTGGATCATCTCCATACAGTCAATCAAAAGATGCCTTTTGCCTCTGATGTCAAAGCAACTGAGTGGGAAGTGACATGTCCCTTAGGAAATATTCAGTTACATCATATCAGAGGCGTACATGGATTTCTACTTGAGGAAGAGGTCCACTTAACACCAATCCTTGATAGCCAAAAGTACTTCTCAAATGCAAAAGCCAGTCCAAAGAGAAGAGATACATACTTGGCACACTTAGCTTGACTCCGAGCCTGGCAGTCCTCTTGATATTTGAATAGCTGTTCAGGCATGACATTGCTAACGGCCAGTTTCAGTTTTTGCAGAGGTTCCCTTAAACGATCATCCTGAGGAAAAAATACTAAAAGTTTTTTCAAACATATTTACAAAACTTATTTTGTAAGCCGAACCTCAAAAGATGAAAGTCATTTTTTTTATTTATTTATTTTTTTGAGTTGGAGTCTCACTCTGTCACCTAGACTGGAGTGCAGTGGCCGCTACTGGCCACTGCAGCCTCGACCCGCTAGGCTCCGGCGATCCTTCTGCCTCAGCCTTCCAAGTAGCTGGAACTACAGGCGTACGCTACCACTCCCTGCTAATTTTTTGATTTATTGTAGAGATGAGGTCTCGCCAAGTTTCCCAGGCGGATCTCGAACCCGCAGGCTCAGGCAATTCACTCACCTCGGCCTCCCAAGGCGCGGGATTACAGGCTGAGCCACCGAGCCCGGCTGATGAAAGTCATTTTAGATAGTGATAATAGATTGGAAATATCAGCATATCTATATTTGGACATTTCTTCCACAGCACTGACTTTTCATAATACACACTGGATATAAAATTAGGATGGCCATATTTCTCAGTAGCTAAGAAGAGTCCCAGTTTTTGCCTATTGCCCCACTCTTAAATAAGCCCCATGGGCACTTTAATTACAAATGATTAAATAGAAAACAAAATCTACATTGTACAGACTACTGGTTAGCCCTCATTATGGTGGGGACACAGTCCCACAAGAAGAGACATGGCTCTGGAACACACAATTTGGTTGGGGCAATGACCAATGGGATGTTGGCAGCCTGTTCTCTTGATCATGGTTAGTAATTATGACTTTGCTGCAAGCAAACATGCAAGGTGAAGGCCAAAGTGAAAGAGAAACCTGAAAACTCTTATCCATGTGGGTTCAGGGCAAAAAGGAACGCAAGTAGGTTTGTATCTGACAGTTTTAATCAACCAACTTACTATTTTCATCTTGAAGTAACAAATTTACATAGGTATTAATAATTATTTTAAATGAGTGCAAAAATATAAGACTTTGCTTTTTTCCAAAAGCAACTGTTTTTAAAGTATGATTTTTGGTAAAGAAAAGATTTTAAAACACAAATATTACCAATAAACCTATCAACCTACTGCATACATACTAATTAGTAAATATTATAGCACATATGACACTGTCTGCTATAAAATTCTATTTTTAAAAATGTCAACATTCAGAATTATGTTTCTTGGATCTTCACTTTGGAAAAATTATGTAGGTGAGACTATTTGTCAGGAAACAACTCAAATACCCATTAAGAGTAAAATTGCTAACTTAATCAGGATATCTTCATACAACAGAACAATGTATTCACAGCAGTAAAAATGAATGCATTTTCACTACATGTAGACATAAGATAAATCTGGGCACTAAAAATTGCAGAAAAAAACAGACAGTATGTCTCTATTTATATGAAGCTTAAAAATATGCAAAACTGGCCGGGCTCGGTGGCTCAGCCTGTAATCCCAGCACTTTGGGAGGCCGAGGTGAGTGGATTGCCTGAGCCCGCGGGTTCGAGACTTGCCTGGGTAACTTGACGAGACCTCATCTCTACAATAAATAAATTTTTAAAAAATGAGCCGGGCGTGGTAGCGCGCGCCTGTAGCTCCAGCTACTTGGAAGGCTGAAGTGGAAGGATCGCTGGGGCCCAGTAGGTCGAGGCTGCAGTGGCCGGGAGCGGCCACTGCACTCCAGCGTGAGCGACAGAGTGAGACTCCAACTCAAAAAAAAAAAAGAAATAAAATGCAAAACTAAATATAATGTTTAGGGATACAAATGTAAATAAAACCATATAAAGAGAGCAAGAATAAGATAAATGTCTTTCTTCCATAGCCAAAGGGATATTAAGTACCTTCAAACATCAAACTTAAAATGTTCCTTGGAGAATATTTTATAATCTGCAAAAAAGTTGTTTTCTTCCTTCTATTCTTTTTTTATTGGTATCCATTTCTATCATTTGAACCTATGGTAGTAAGCTCCAACTGCTAATGTCTGAAGGAGCCAGGCAAAGGCACAAAATAAGAGACTGTAAATCAGTTCAACTTGTTCATTAATCTGCTTTGAATTGAGAAACAACTATAGTTTCTCATTTAAAAAGAAATATTTTATTAATAGAATTATCTATATAAAGAATTCTATGTTTGTCATATCATACCTACTACACAAGAATCTTGCCTTAGAAAACATTTCTTATCGAAGTCTAGCAATTTAGATGATAAACTGCTGAAGAAACAATTATTTCTCAGGGGATCCAACATGACTTTATTTATTTTTTTATTTTTCCCAACATGACTTTAATAGTCTTCTATGGTTATTAAATACATATAATATGATCACAAAGCAACTAATGTGCAAACAAAGGTCCCAAAAAGATATGTCTCTTTATTTTATAGTTTATAAAACCCCAGATACAGATATTACTGTTTTTTCTCTTACCTGGACATTGAGATGCAACTTCTTTAGACGTTTTACCAGTGTTTCTTTATTGCATGGCACAAAAGCTTCAAGGTGGGAGTAGACACCACTACGAATGACAGGGCCTAGTTCTTGTAGCTGTAACTCAATGCTGACAAAAAAAAAACAAAAAAACACCAAAAAAACAATGAACTGCAGAAAATTTATTTCAGGTGACATCACACAGGCAAGGAGGCAGAGTGGTTGATTCTTACTCTCTTTCTTTTTTTTATTTTTTTTATTTTTTATTTTTTCTTTTCAAGGAGAAAGGGAAAGGGTCTGTGGAGAGAGAGAGAGGAAGTGGGAGAGAGGCGGGGAGGGAGCTGCAGAGAAGGAGAGAGCGACAGAGAGAGAGAGAAAGAGAAATCAAGAGAGAGAGAAACAGAGACAGAGAGAGAGCGATTCTTACTCTCATATTATCTTCCATGATTTCCTAGACAGTATTATTCATGGGAAAATAAAACAAAACAATAAGCAGCAATACTACAGAAAAAATTCTGTAAGTCTAGTTGAAAAGCAGAAGACCAAAAACAAGTTGGCAATACTTTTTTGGTGAGATGGTAAAGTCTATGTTTTTGTGTTTTAAGCACAGAAATCTGTTATTAACCAAAAGCTCATTTCCTCAAAAAGATATTACACTACCCCTCTGCCTACTGGCAACTGCTATTTTAGAGTGTCACATAGTTTTACTGAGTTTCTAGAATATTCTTTTCCTTAGAGATGTCTGAAAAAAGGTTCAGAAAAGGCAAAGCCCCTCTGGCTATGTATATATACCATTTTATCCATCTTTGTTTCTCTTACTGTGCCTGCTCTACACAAACTACATACCGCATTTAACAGTTTATTCCATTTATTTTGATTCTCTAGTTCCCATTTCCACTTATAAATTAGGTTTCTGAGAAAGAAAACAAATTATTAAATGTGTATTTAGCCTGAGAGTTTTCTTTTTTTTAAAAGAGGAAAACAGTTTGTAATAGCCATCATATTTTCAGAAGGTCAAATCTAATAGTTGTTGTGTCTTTCAGGATTTAAGACATTACACCTGGCAGCTTCTGATGTTAATTTGTAGGCCAGACTAAATTGGCAACAAAGTATGTCCAAATCATCACATTCTATTATAGGAGAAGGTACAAATAGACTTAAGTACTTCTCACAGATGTAAGATGCAACCATAAATACAATTAATAAGTTTTTAGGAAGAAAAGAAACCCTATCACATCAAATGTAGCTATCACTTATAAGAATGTTGCAATTTCAGAAAATATAAAGTGTAAAAATGTATGCTCCTTAGAACTGGTAATAGAGAATTCTTGTTATTAGAGAAGCCAAGCAGACAAAAAATTACAAGAAGCTTAAGACTTGTAAGAACCAGAGGGTCAAATGCATGGGTTCATATGGAAAACAATCAGTATGGTCTTGAGTTGTGTATCAACATTTGGTTAGAAAACATTATGTGCAGATCCTTATTAAAAGTGTAGACTCTGGGCAAAAGGCCTTCTATGTTTGTTTTTGAAAATTGAGGCTGAAAATAAAATAAAAACTCCAAGTACTAAGAGAACCCAGATAAGAAAGACTAACTTAATGATCTACTAATAAAAGTCAGTAGTTTCTAAAAAACATTAACTCAGATGTAGGAAGAGCTGACTCCTTGAAGAGTAAGCAATTGATAAGTCCCTTATTGAGATTCAAGTCACTACTCTTTCATGAACTCCTTAAAGGAACACCTGACAAAGAGATGGCAGAAAGAAGTGTCAAGCAGGATTGGTAGTACCCGCCTAAAGCAATTTGTTGAGCAGAACTGTCATGATGAATTGGGAAGATAGGCAATGTCACAGTTTATGAGCAACATCTGCTTCAGGTAACAGGGGAGGAAATCAAGTTAGTATGTTGTATATTTGTTGATCCAGGTCAATTCAATTATGCAAAAAGAAAAAAGTTTCCCTACTCCAACAAATTGATCCCACCCCCCCAGCATAAGAAAGCAATGGTGAGGCTGAGCCAATACACCTGGATAACTTCATGAAATTATTATCTGAAATAGTTATTTCCCATTAGTCCTCAGAAGAGCGACTCAGTCAAAAAATAAGGCATGTTTGTTGAGGAAAGTGGAAAAAGAGGCCAAGGGAATAAGAAAGTGACTAAAAGGGAAAAAATTAAGCTCTGCACAGTAGAGCCTGTGGAGTTAGAGGCACACCCTCTGTGAAATAAAAAGTAGATGGGCTCCAAAAAACTAGATTTGTTTTAAGATAAACATGGGAGGAATGAACAGAGAAGCCTGTTAATGGAATGCTAGTAACCTGCTTATTTGTGATGCTATGTCTCAAGGATGGTCTTTTGATTCTCCCAGAGGACAAATAGTTGTTCCCTCTAACAGATGAGTAAAATAAAATAGAACTGTCTCAACTACAAGAGAAGGACATCATCTAGTACACTTGGGGATCTCAGGTGGAAAGAAAGGAGTGGTCAGATCCCTGATTATGGAATCCAAGACGGCTCTGACAAGTAATGGCTGCACTGTTCAGAGAGCCTGGGGTTTATTTATTTATTTATTTACTTATTTTTTGAATTAGAGTCTCACTCTATTGCCCAGGCTAGAATGCAGTGGCACACTCATGGCCACTGTAGCCTTGACCTGCTGGACTCAGGTGATTCTCCCACCTCAGCCTCTCAAATAGCTGGAACTACAGGCACACACACATGCCCGCTAATTTTTTGATTTATTGTAGAGACGAGGTCTCATCAACTTGCCCAGGCTGGTCTTGAACCCCTGGGCTCAGGCAATCCTCTCGCCTCTGCCTCCCAAAGTGCTGGGATTACAGGCGTGAGTCACTATGCCTGGCAGAGTCTTGGGTTTAAAGGGAGCTAGTAAAAAGAGGTGGCACTGACAGGAAGCACTGACCTGGCTTCCAGACAGACAGGCTCAATCTGAACATTCCTGGCTAAAATTAAAAAGAACAGGAATGAGAAACTTTCTTGCCACCATATTAAAAGCACTAGCAGCACACTGGATTATATGTCTTCTGAGTCTATTTTTAAGTACTCCAGGATAATGGAGATTGCAATTAATTTCAATAGTTATCAGAACCAATGAACCAATCAGTCCTTTTTCACATCTCATGAGAAATTATCTCCACAAAAGACAAGAATTATAGTGCAGGTAATATTGCTTTTTCCTCTTTCTAGATGATGTTATAACATCACCAACAGTGGGCACACATTATTTTCATCAGAGAGGAGTAAAACTGGCTGCTTTCCTCATGACCACCTTTTTGCCCAGTTCTGTGGTCAATTATAAACTTGATCCTATAAACAATTGCTAAGATCTGTGAGGCAAGAGGTTTTCAAGTACAGCTTATTTCACTAAAACCTTAGAACCTATAGCTTCACTAATACCAAATTCTAAGTCTGAAACTATTACTAAGTTAAATATAAAAGTGTTAATTTAAATACAAACTGTACCATATATCAGCCTTCACCTTCTTGTTCCCAATCTAACTGTTGTCTTCACCACACTACCTCCATCCTACCTCATAACCATGATATCTTTAGGAAATTATACCTTACACGTTTGGCTATGAAAGTTTATATGAATTAAAATTAACCTCACTAAATATTAATGGAATTCTTTTTCTCACATGTAAGTGATGAAACTAGATGGCTAATCATGCCAAATCTTTATAAACATTCTAAATTTTCCCAGAGTTATTTTCATATACTTTTAAGTCTATGTTAATATTTAACCTGTACAGTGGTCACGTGCTCTGGCAGTTATAAATACTGGAAGTTTTGATGATCATAAGTGACTTGGAAAAATCAGTCTATACAGAAGCATAATTTTGCTGAGAAACAAATGTTGATCAGACATACCATAAGGCTGAAAGCGAAGAGTTAATGCATGAGACTAGCCAACTACTTAGCATCTGTATCTCAAAGGCCTACTGCATTTTTAAAGGAATCATTCTTAAGGCTTTTTCCTCATAAAAGAAGAAAATTACTCACTCTAGAAGAATATTATTCATATCCTGTGTAAAGAATTTTTTCCTTCCTTCTTCATCAAAAAGTTTGGCAGCCTAGAGAGACATAAGGAAGATGTCATAACTCACAATAAGCAATTATTGCTTAAAAAATTTTTATTCTTAGGACACAGGCTCAAACAGGTTTTCTTGGTTTTGTTTTGCTATTTTTTAAGATGGAGTCTCACTATGTTGCCCAGGCTGGCATCTAACTCCTGGGCTCAACTGATCCACTTCAGTTTCTTGAGTAGCTGGGATTACAGGCATTTGCCCTGCTGCAATAAACAATTACTTTGAGATTAATATCTAATGAAAACAAAACAAAGAATTTTATATCAGGAGAATACCACATGAGCCATCTGAGAGATCCAAATTCAGTCACACTTTGTGTAAGTTTCCTGTAGCTGCTATAACAAATTACCACAAACTTACTGGCTTTAAAACAATATAAGCGTATCCTCTCACAGTCCAAAGTGAAAAATTCGTATTATTGGGCCAAAGTCAAGATGTCAGCAGGGCTAAGTTACCTCCAGAGGCTCTAGGGAAGAACTTGTTCCTTGCCTCTTCCAACTTTTGGTAGCTACCAGCATTCTTTGGTTGCCATTACAACACTCAGATTTTCAAGGCCAGCATCTTCAAATCTCTCTGTGCTCCCCCTTCACATGGCCTTCTCTTTGTGTGTGTAACATTTCTTTCTGTCTCCCTCTTCTAAGGATACATGTGATTGCATTAGGCCCACAGGCTAATCTAAGATAATATTCCCATCTCAAGGTCCTTAACTTTATCACACATGCAAAGACTCTACTCTTATTTTGTCATACAAAATACCATTTACAGATTCCAGGGATATGAATATGCTATATTTTGGAAGGCCTACTACAGGTATTTTAAAAATCTATAGAAGTTGTAGATTCTAAGAATATGAAAAAACAAAAAGATCAATTCCCATCGAAGTTAGAAGTCTTTAGAATTGAACAGAAAAGATATTCAGAAATATCACAGTAGGGTAACTATAGTTAATATTAGTCAATTTCATATTTCAAAATAGCTAGGAGAGAATAATTCGAATGTCCCTCACATAAAGAAACTATAAATAGTTAAGGTGACAGATATCCTGATTACGCTGATTTCATCTTATGAATGTATCAGATTATAAAATATAAACTGAAAAGATATATATCTAATACTTACCAATAAAAAATAGTATTGGTTAAAAAAATAAATAAAGCCCAATCATGTGATGAACTCAGTTGAAACTGCAGACTTACATGAGTAGACAAAAGGATGTGATAAGGTGTACAAGAAGACACACTCCATGGCCCTGTCTTTAAGTTATGGAGTCACTGACATAACAATCTTTAATATGGTTCACTGCATTCCATCAAGATCAATGACCAGAATACAGTCAACAATCCAGTTGAAATGTGTGGCTGGAGGCTATGTATTGAGGGAAAAAAAATCTTAAATATGGTCAACAACAAAAATATTAGTAGATTGGTCATCTCCAAGAGGAAGTTAAAAGTCAAAAATGTAGTAAATAAGAAAAGTAATATGGAACTGATGGGACAACTGTTGAAATAAATAATTTTTGAAAAGACTAAATAGCTGGGCACAGGGGCTCAAGCCTGTAATCCCAGCACTTTTGGAGGTTGAGGTATGGGGATTACCTGAGCCCATGGGTTTGAGAACAGCCTGGGGAACTTGGTGAGACTGCCATAAATCAAAAAATTAGCCAGGCGTGGTAGCGTGCGTCTGTATTTCCAGCTACTTGTAAGGCAGAGGTGGAAGGATTGCCTGAGCCCAGCAGGTTGATGCTGGGGTGGCTGTGACTGTGCACTTCAGTCTGGGCAATGGAGTGAGACTCCAACCCCCACCCCCCCCCAAAAAAGAAAAGACTATCTAACTAATGATTTGGTGAAGGGAAAAGCAATAGTTAAAAAAAGCAATGTGAATAATAAACTAGCCCTGCCTATTTTTCGATTCAGTCATCACAGATATAAAAGGTATGAAGTTGAAAATTAAGTAATAATCTCTTCTTCATGATGCATACAGTGCTTACCAAAAGCCTAAAGTAAAGAAAGAATAGACATATTTCCTTCAAGTAAAAGTACTTATAAATAAAAAATTTTGATAAAATTTAAACTTTACAACATTATATTACTTATTTAATAATTTCAGCTACAAAAAATTAAATTTAATCATCCAGTAGTTACAAATGTGTATGAATATTTTTTAAAATGCCATGCAACAGGCTGAGCACAGTGGCTCAAGCCTGTAATCCCAGCACTTTGGGAAGCTGAAGCAAGAGGACTGCCTTAGTCCAGGGGTTTGAGACCAGCGTGGGCAACTTGGTGAGACCTTGTTTTTACAATAAATTTTTAAAAAATTAGCCGGGCGTGGTGGTGTGTGCCTAAAGTTCCAGCTACTTGTAAGGCCCAGACAGAAGGATCACCTGAGCTCAGCAGGTCGAGACTGCAGTAGCTGTGAGCATGTCATTGCACTATAGTGACACTATAGTGACATTACAGCCTGTGAAACTTCAACTTAAAAAAAAAAAGTCATGCAACAAATACTTATTGGTCCTACTTTAGACATATTGGTATGCATTTCTATTTTATTCTATTTTTTTGTAATACTGGTCTTTACCTGCTAATATGATTTCATAAATCATCGATGGGTCTGAACACACAGTTTAAAAAACAAGATATTATTTGTTTCCATATATATTTACTAAAGAACATGCTACTTAAAAATGAGGCTATACCTCACTAGTCATCAAAGAAATGTAAATTAAAACCACACTGAGATATCATCTAACTCAGTCAGGATGGCCATCATCAATAACTCAAAAAACAACAGACACTGAAGAGGATAGGGAGAAAAGGGAACACTTCTACACTGTTGGTAGAAGTGTAAACTAGTACAATCTCTGCGGAAAACAATTCCTAAAAGATCTAAAAACCGATCTTCCATACAACCCCACCGATACCCTCTTCTGGGAATATACTCAGAGAAACTCAAATCACTCTATGAAAAAGATACCTGCACACACGTTTATTGCAGCATTATTCACAATAGCAAAAACATGGAACCAACTGTGCTGCCCACTGAAAGAGGACTGGATTGAAAAAATGTGGTACATACACACGATGGAATGCTATGCAGCCATAAAGAAGGACAAAACTATGAACTTCACAGCAACTTGGATGAACTCAGAGTCTATAATACTGAGTGATCTTTCACAGAAACAAAGAATTGAGTACCACATGTTTTCACTCATAAGTGGACCTCAAACAATTACCATAATACTGTAAGATACTATAAGAAGGGATTGGCAGTAGTGGAAAACTGCCAGCGGGGGGCACACCTCATCAGCAAAGGTATCCTGCATAATGAAGACTCGTATACCTAATTGTACCCCACATCTTTAAAATTAAAAATTTTTTTAAAAAGTGAGGCTATAATTCACTTGACTTTATATCCTTGGAACAGCTTAGTACTTTGCAAGAAGTTGGCAATTAAAGAGTTATCAAATGAAATTTAGCATACATACCCTGCTTTCATTTTATATATATATAAATACATATATATATATATATATGTATTTATCTCAATCTTCCTAAATTCACAAAATGATACATATAAGACTTTTTTGTGCTTTGGGTGTCCTGTATATTTTGACTACCTATAGGTTTATTAATTCTTGCTGTGATCTTCAAGATAACAGAAAGCAGAAGTCTCTCATAGCCTACAGACTGTGATGTGTCTGACAATTTATTATATACTTTATTCTATGTTCCATATTCATAACAACCAAAGAAGTTGGTATTATAGCCTTTATCATATAAACAAAGAACCTAAGCCTTAGAGAGGTTACACGATATACCCTCAAATCACATTGCTAATAGGTGGTGGATCCAGGATTTAGATCAGAAGCTTTCTGACTTCAACTGGGCAACACAGCCACCCAGTATAAAGATAATGGCTTACTGCAGCCAGTCTGAGTTCTACCTAATAACAAATGAAAAAATTAGCCAAGGTTATCATCAAAGGATAAGCACAAATCAATTAAGTAAACTTAAGGATAATATTTTCATCACTGTTTCCCATCTTAAACAGCTGACCAGAAACAAAGAATTTATAAACCAAGACACTACCATAGTAATTTGAAATCACAAAGATATAGTTCATTTTTGGATCCATGAGATATAAAACACTGAGATCTGATCCAACAACCTGAGCAAACCATGTGCTGATTCTGCAATCTATTTAACAATGTTATTTAACAATGTTACATGCTATAGGAGGAAGAGGCAAACCTTTGAGATATGCTTCTTAGACAGTGGCGGAGAGGCAGAAATATAGGAAAAAAGCCAGAGTGAAAACTAAACTTCAAGAAAGGGAATTTTTTAAAAAGTCAAGAGGTTTAATAGTGGATGAATATCACAAAGTAACAAGAAAATTGCTTGTCAGTCAGACATGAGCATTTTAGCTGAAGATGAATTATCATCTAGTGAAGAAAAAGCACCACCTCATATTTCAAAGAAAAATATGAAGAATTCAAAGGTATTAGTAGGTATTATTACTGAGAATCTCCTACTAAGGAGTTAAGATGAAGCTGTATTAATCCTGGCATGGTTACTACAAAGACAGATGGTATTTCTGGATATGAGACACAACAGAGTCTTACAAGGCTGAAACACACTCCTTCTAACCAATTTGTTCAGGAAGTGAACATGAATGGCATATGACAAAGCAGAGAGAGTATAAGCTCTGGAGCTTGGCAGTTCTGACTTTAAATCCTGACTTGGCCACTTAAAAAGTATGTGGCCTTGGGCAAATCATTTAACTTTCTTAACTTTACTTTCATCATCTATTAAATGGGAGAAATATTACCCAGTTCACATGATTGTTGGGAATATTAGCCTATGCAGTATGCAAAATATATCAAACTAACTCAGGACTGCTGTCTCCTGAGAGGTGAAAGGAGCCTTGTGAAGTGGTGAAACACAGCAGTATAGCAGTATTGCACCTAATATACAGGATTGGTTTTTGCTAAATAAACAACAGTTATTATTTAATTACAACCTGAATTACATCACTAGCACATTTTTTTTTGAATCATCGTTTCACTGTGTCACCCAGGCTGGAGTGCAGTGGCACAATCATGGATAACTGCAGCCTTGATCTCCTGGGCTCAGGCAATCCTTCTGCCTCAGCTTCTTGAGTAGCTGGGACTATAGACATGCCACCATGCCTGGCTCATTTTTTTTTACTTTTGTAGAGACAGGGTCTCACTATGTAGCCCAGGCTGGTTTCAAACTACTGGTCTCAAGTGATCCTCCTGCCTTGGTCTCCCAAAGTGCTGTCATTACAGGCACAAGTCACCACGCTAAAAAGTCTCACTAGTGCTTTTTAAAACCTAGAAGAAACTAAAGATTTTAGAGATGAGGCAACATAGGACAACAGAAAGCACATACTCTGGAGTCAGTGAATCCTGGTATTTAAATTCTGGTTCCACCACTTATTAGTTGTGTGGCTTTGACTAAGTTATTTAACTTATCTCCACTTAGAATTCTCACCCATAAAAAGAAAGTAATACTCAAACTTTATACACAGAGTTGACAAAAAGATTAAACATGAAACCTATTCGATTAAAAAATTATAAATAGATTGTATGCTTTTCAAAATGTAAGCACAGAAAGTAGCAAAAGAATGACGACAAAGAAGGGAGAGGGAGCAATAAAATAATAGAAAATGCAACAAAGGTCAATTGTATCATAGTAACTGTAGATCACATAAAATCATTTAAGAGGAAAAACTCAGATTATGTCAATAAGCAAATTTTCATTGACAAGCTAAATAAAAGCTAAAATAATAAAGAAATAAAACATAAATAAATACATAACTAATAACTAAAAGAACTCAGAAAGACTGAAAACAAAAGATGAGAGATGCAAAATAAAGAGTGTACAGTAAAGTCATACAAAACTAAAATCAAGGCGAAAAACATTAATAAGACAGAAAGCATCACCTTCAGATGATGATCATCACAATGAAGATGCAGCCATGATGCATCTTATGAACAATACAACACAGCATAGAAATAAATAGCAAAAACTATGGTAAACACAAGTTATAACTAAAAGGAATAATGGCAATGAGATAGTTCAAAACACACTTCTCTAACACCTGAAGTGATGAAATAGATGTAAATAAGTAAGAATATAGAGGAACTAATTAGTAAATCATGACTTCGGAAGAAACACTGACAAACAAAAAGTAGAAAAACAGAATTAACAAAATTAATAAAAGAGCCAGTTGTTGGAAAAGTTAAGTAAATGTCCTGCTCCCCTAGTCAGATATTTAATCCTTTGCTCTCAAGACATCTCACGGATGATCACCTACCAAGTAACTCAACCACACTTTTTTACGAAATAGTGAAAAACGAATCACTTCATATTACAAAATACAGTGTTGGAATCAATTATTTTATGGTAAGGATATTTGGTCTATAATGGTATTTTGGGCATTGAGGAACTTATTTATGACCAAAAAAATTAAAATAAAGATTTTTTCTTATATTTTTCTTTTTTTTTTTTGAGTCAGAGTCTCACTAGGCTAGGCTAGAGTACAGTGGCACGCTCAGTCACCACAGACTTGACCTGCTGGGCTAAGACAGTCCTTCCACCTCAGGCTTCCAAGTAGCTGGAACTACAGGCGTGCACCACCATGCCCGGCTAATTTTTTGATTTATTGTAGAGACGAGGTCTCTCCAAGTTGCCCAGGGTGGTCTCGAACCCATGGGTTCAGGCAATTCTCCCACCTCAGACTCCCAAAGTGCTAGGATTACAGACATGAGCCACCATACCCAGCTCTTATCTTATATTTTTCTAACATGTAATAATGTTTGAAATGGTCACGTACGTGCATTGCAGGTTCATTGATATACGTTGTGTGATAATTTGTTTGACATCTTTCACCTGGTGTTTTTCTGTTCAAGTAGACAATGCAGTCTCACTTTATTTCTCCCACAATATAATATGCAATTTACTATCCAGTCTGTTGTTCAAAGATGATGTGGAAGAATGCACTCATGATACCTGAAAACCACTTCTCAACTCATCAATCATATCTCAGTATATATTCCATCTCTTTATTTGCTTTTTTGTGCAATTTGAATGGAAAACTTCAAGGAAACATACATTTTTGAAAAATTTGTGCTTGCATAAGTTTGTCCTATATAATCACCAGCGATCTCTTTATGTTCCCTGAGAGGGGACACACCAGTGGTTTGCCAGATTTATGATGTCTCCTCAGAGAAACAACCGAACGCAAAGGGTTAAAATTTAGAAAGAGTTTAGAGAAATAAATACACTATAAAGATGATTAATAAATTCTAAAATGACTTTAAATAGAAAAAACTTAAGATAAAGAAATCAGGTTGTATAATTGCCCACACATTACAATCCCATTAACAATTATTTTTAACAATAATATAATATTTGCAAATATATGGATTAACAACCAGAAAATAGCAATTTAACCATCGTTATCTCTGAAGGTGAAGAATGTCTGATCATGGGAATCTTTCTCTAAATATGAAAAACACATTCTGTATTGTTTGTATTACTTTTGTTTATCAAGGGAAAAAATTCAAAATGACTAAAATATAAAATGAGTTCAGACAGATGTGCTAAAGTAATCCAAAAGGACCCTCATTTCAGCTAGTTTGGGCATATTTTAAGACAAAATATTATCTCTCTGGGATAAAAAGATGTGTGAGGTATAACTGGATTTATAGCTAGCTAAACAATGATTATGGATCCAAGTCAATCTGTAGAGAAATCTATTTTGGCAGTCCACAGGTTCAACTCTTATGCTTGTCCCAGTGGGAACACAATGCATGCTTACTAAAGCTGCCAGTTAGCTGGAAAAATATTACAAAATAACTAGATGTCTACATAGTTTAGACCAAGTTTAGGTACATTAGGCACACTTCTTCAGCTTGCCCCCTTCTTTACCCTATTTTCTTTTCATCACTATGTAGCTAATAAAAATTGAATTTATGAAACCTAAGCAGAAAAATATAAAGGTGAACTGAAATAATAAAAGAATCAACTGTATTAATGCTATAACTACAGTCATTTCTATTTAAAATAAAAGGTCTCTGCATATAGCCAATGCCTAAAAGGAAACACGGAAAATAAAAAGTTGATATAAGGATATTTGGATTGTGGGTTATTATTTTTATCTTTTGAAAAAGCATTTATTGCGATGTTTGTGCAGCAAATAAAAACCAAGAAAATTATTATACTTACTACACGGAGGTCTTCAATACGTTTTTCAAGAAGTATAGGTAGACCCTCTGGAAGTGTAGGTACCACCTTGGGCATAACCTGAGATATGTAGGTTGGCTGGGTGGTGTTTCCATTTTCTCCTCCTGACTCAGATAGGGGGCTACCATCAGAAGCAGCATCCAGTAATCTGTCAAAGTCGAAATCATCTAGCATCTCTAGGGCATTTTCAGCTTCCTGAAACAGTTCATGTTCATTTGTGCTAACAAAAATGGGCAGGTCTGGATCAGCACTGTTCAGATTTAAGTCCGGGACATCATTCCCCAATGCTGCAGCAGCACAGGGGGGTTTATTCAGAGAGGAGGTTGACAAGGTCACCGGGACTTTTGGGCTAGACTCCTTCTTTAATGCGTCCTTCTCTTTCTGAAATTTTCTAATCATGGCAGCTAGAGAAAGAGAATCTTTATAACGTTTCTTCTTTTTTTCAGATTTGTGTGAATTTAGAGCCACAACTCTGTGAAGAAAAAAGTGAACAGTTAGTCTATGTGTGATTTTAAAGATTAAAGCACCATGTCAATAAGTAGCCACAGAATTTAAAAAATCATTTGACAGGTGGCAGAGCAAATGGTTTTCTTCTTAATTTCTTATAATTTATAATTCTGCAATAGCATCTTCTTCAATGTCATCTGGATTGTCACTTATGAAATATGTACACAGCTAAGTGGCCATTACAGTAAAAAAAATGAAAGGGATAAAGTCGGCAAAGAGAAAACAATATACTTCAGATCTATTAAAGTATACCAAGTTAAATTTACTACTCTATTTGGAATGTTCACATTTTTAGCATATCTATAAAGTAGCCACCTAAAGAATCAAGCAAATCCGTATCATACACCTTCAAATCAGTACCCCAGAAGGCTTGTGCTATAAACCACCAAAGACATAACAAAATCCACCGTCTCAATCTGTGAATCCTTATCCCACCACTATGTCATCTTCCCAGACTCTATTCTACCTGCTACTAACTTTAGATCACTCCTTACTTTCCATTCTAGGAACAGCTGTGTTAGCCAATCAGATATATATGTATAATTTTCAAGGATATCTTCTTCAGACAGGATTTATGGGAGAATGATCTCAGTTTAGCTATTACTTCCTCTAAGGACTCTTTTCTAAATCCTATGGCTTAGATGCTTCTATGTGCATTGCAGAACCCAAAAGATTATTAGTACCTTGAAGGTAGGCTCAAGTTTAAGTCACTGTTAAACACCCAAACCCTACAGTGTCTGGTAGAAAGTAGTTAATAGATATTTGCTAAACAATGAATACGTTAAAAAGTTGCAAAAACAGTAAGTTCAATAAAAAGTCATACTTGTAGTCTATGTTCCCAAAGAAGTTTCCTTGTAAGTAATGAACTTTTAAGACAACCCTCAGTAATATATAAATTTTTTTCTTAATAATTTCTTAATGACTAAAGGTCAAGATTAAAGATTGTAATCCCATGTTTAGGAAGGGAGAAATACCTCCCTATATCAACCTTTGAATAGCCCAAAATTCAGATGTACCTCCCCTGTAAAGTAAGGGAGAAAATTTAACCTCTCACAACTGTCTTTCTCTCAGCTTTGCAAAAAAAAAAAAGCCACAGAGTGGTAGAGGCAATAATTTTTTATTGCATAGTAGAAATACTTTATTCTTCTGATGTAAGGCTTCTGAGAATGTCTATTGGTTTTTTTAACAGCAATATTATTACCTAATGTCACAAGTGTAAGAACAGCTACGTAAGATGAGCATGGTTGCTCATGCCCGTAATCCAAGCACTTTGGCAGGCAGGCAGAAGCAGGAGGACTGCTTGAGCCCAGGAGTTCAACATCAGCCTAGGAAACTTAGTGAAACTGCACAAAAAAATCAAATATTAGTCATATGAGGTGGAAGGATCGCTAGAGCCCATGAGGTTATGGCTGTGGTGAGCCATGATCATGCCACTGCACTCCAGCCTAGGCAACAGAGTGAGACCCCATTCAAAAACAACAACAACAAAAAACTTTATATAAGGAAATTTTAAATATTTAAACCATAAATTGTTTGCATATAGGCTATTGCCAATTCTCAATCCCCAGGCATCTAAGCATAGTTTTAGTACCAAAAGATTAAGAGTTTGTTCAATGTTTATAATATCTTTTGAAATTGATTCTTGTTGGTAAAAAGTTGTAATGAGCAAAATACTTAGTGAACCAATCTACAAATTTGATCTGAAATATCACGAATCTCTAAAATAAAAAGTCTTCTTAACAAGTACTATGATATTCTTAAAATATAAGCTAGTAAGTCCTTATTGTTTGTCAATATTGTATTAGATTATACCCAACTGAGCTGAATTAGTTAATGATAAGCATGTCTTTCTAAGAGATAGTTGTACTGTGAAGCTAGGTTCCTTCTGAGGTTTAATTTAACATACCCAAGTTGTTTGGGTACTTTTTTCCTTGGCTTCTTCTCCTTTTCCCCTTCCTCTTTCCGCTTCCGCTTCTTTATCTCAATATCATCTTCTTTTATTTTGGGAACCTGCAAAATGATAAAATAATGTGTCATTTATCTAAGTACCAATGCTTTACTCTTTGATGTTAGTAATCCAGCATCCAGGACAGTGGTTTTTCTCAAATGTCAGTGTGCATTAGAACTGCTTGTTAAAATGCAGATTCTTGGGGTCCAAGAGCACTCATATATCTTATTTCGATTCAGTTATCTGAGGAAGGGCTTTTATAATGTGCATTAACAAGCATTTTGGTAATTTTGGTTCAAGTAAATCTATGGACCACACTTCAAGAAATACTTATCTAAGGATACTATTCCTTTCCCAAATACAGTGTATACAAATTCTATCGAACTTGTCACAAATTACATCTTAGGAAAGGTAACAAGTATTAACAGTGATTTCTATAGAAAGTCTTAACCTATCCTAAAAACTTAACCTTATCCCAGAAACAGTAGATTATTAGCTCACATATGTAAAGAGAAGCTTTCAAAGAAACTATAATTCTTCTATGAAGTAAATACCAATTTCTCCAAATCTGCATAATTTTGCTTTTGATTTTAAAGTATGTAACTAACTATAGATTCATTAAACAATGGCTTGTATTTTACTTTTCCTTGTGTTCACAGTGTGGCATAAGTAACATTCAAAAAGTATATCGTATTAATGAACATTCTCATTACTGCTGCAACGTCAAATAAACTCACTTTGGGTGGCTTGTGCTTTTGGTTGTCTGTAATATCATCTTCTTCAGTATCTGAAGCTTGACGAAACTGTAGCGTGCCAGTGTTGATATAAAAGCCTCCATATTTTGTTGTAAGAGAAGCAGGAACTAATTCGTCATACTAGATTGAAAAAAATTGGTTTCAGATATATCCTGTTGTCTTTAACTCTATAAATGTCATAAAAATTCATTCACCATGGCAGCATCTTCCTTAAATCCTAATCACAAAGCTGATTGCAATGAGGGTGTTTGTAGAATAAGATTAGAAATTAGCTCTGATCATTTGGTATATATAAGAAAGGAATTTCTGAAACAATGAAGCAAATTCTAAATTTATCACCTGCTGAAAAAAATAAGAATCACTGCTATGATTCCTTTTTTCCCCTTCCCACTGTTACTATTCTAAATGACAAATGGTTCTGATGAGAAATTTTTTAAAAAGTTAAAACAGATGACTAAATGTCCAGATAGGGGGTCAATTTCATTTCCTACCATATCAGTATATAATTTTATTCATAAGATTATAAATAGCAAAACTATTTTTTTTCTGTTCTTACTGTATGCTTTTAAGTGGGAAAAATTTTTTAAACATGCAAAAGAAAAGTAGCACACATATTTTAAAGGGAAGCAGTAAAACAATTGCCCTAGCTGGGTGCAGTGGCTCACGCCTGCAATTCCAGCTCTTTGAGAGGTTAAGGCGGAAGAGTTGCTTGAGACCAGGAGTTTGAGATCTGCCTGGGTAACAAAGCGAGACATCATCCCTACAAAAAATAGAAAAACTAGTGGGATGAGGTGGCACACACCTGTAGTCCCATTAACTCAGGGGGTTGAGATGAAAGAATTGCTTGGGCCCAGGAGTTTGAGACTACAGTGAGCTAAGACTGCACCACTGCATGCCAGCCTTTCAGCCTGGGTGACAGAGTGGGACTCTATCTCAACAACGAAAACAACCAAAAAACTGCCCAAATTCAGTAAGTATATATTATAGGACCTATAATGAGCACTTTGCTTAAAGCAAGAGACTTAAATTGTCTAAGTCAGACTTATGTCCCCAAAGTCTAGATCTTAAGGTTTATCATTATCTCACTTGATGAAGATGGACAAAAAGCCAACATTAAACAAAAGTCAATCTTAACTAAATGAAGGTATTCAACGTGGGAAAGAAAAAGGGAACTATTTATCTAATAGTACAGTATCTGGTTATTCACATAGTACAATTATTGGGTACCTGGAGTTCCCAAACTATACTTCTGGAATCTTCATACCAACTAACTAGTCTTTAAGAAAGTCAGATTTTCAAGAAAACTCTGCCATACGCAAGGAATACACATATCTCACTAGTTACTGTAAGAATATTAACGCTAAGTACAAAAGTTATAATTTTAACCCATATCCTTTAAAATTATATGGTGAATGGAAAAAGAAAGAGCTCACAGCTTAATCATATAGAATTAAAAAGAAATAAATGAGTACAGAAAAATAAAAGAAAACGAATAACCCTCTTGTTGTTCTACTTGATACACTACCATAAAGATCTACAGATAAGACCTTACAGAAAAAGGTCAGCACAATCTGCAAATACAGGAGTGATGTGAGGAGTGAAGGTTTAAAAGTGAAAAGACAGCCTTGCATGGTGGCTCATACCTGTAATCTCAGCACTTTGGGAGGCCAAGGTGAGAGGATTGCCTAAGCCCAGGGTTTCGATACCAGTCTGGGCAACTTGACCAGACCTTGACTCTATAATAAATCAAGAAAAATTAGCCAGGTGTGGTGGCACATGCCTGTAGTTCCAGCTACTTGGAAGGCTGAAGTGGAAAGATCACCTGAGCCCAGCAGGTTGAGGCTGTGGTGGCTGTGAGCATGCCACTGCACTCCAGCCTGGACAATAGAGTGAGACTCAACTCAAAAAAAAAAAAACGAAGAAGAAGAAGAAAAGAAAAGACTTTGTAGTAATTACTCTGAAAATGTGTCCCTGTGATAAGATAAATACACTTGTACTCTTTGCTTACATGTATATATATAATGCTTTATACTTTTCAATGCTTCTTCATATAAATTATTTCATGATACCCTTGTGATGCAACAAAGGCAAATATGATTACCATTTTAGGTGAAAACTAAATAAGCACCTTGCCAAAGCTATCTTGCATGTTCATGGCAAAGTCACCAGCTGCCTCCAGCTCGTCCACTACACCAAGTGGCTCCATGTGGGAGACATATGCATCACCAGGTGCACAGGGTAGTGCTCATGTGCTCAAAGCCTGTCTTCTCATCCAGTATTCTGCTGAGCTTTCCTATCAGAATACTCTTCAGGAGAATAAGCTCCTTAAGAATATTTAATTTAGTCACTTAAGTAGAATGTGGTAAGAGACAAAAGACACTGAACTTGAGAATCAAAAAGCCTAGATTCAGATCCTTTGCCTATGACTAGCTATTGTGACCTAGGGCAAATCATTTAACATCAATTTTGGAGGATTATAACACAGGGACAATGTTATTTACTTCACAAAATTTTAGTGACATTTAAAAGGGACAATCTAAATAAAAGAGTATTCGTTTCTGGTATTATCTATTAGTAGTTATAAATACATTAACAAACAAATCTTTCAGCTTTTTTTTACAATTTGGCAGCATAAATGTGAGACTAAAATTATCTTCAAAACATTTATTTTCAGATATTTTTAGTAAAATGTAGTACATGATTCTAAAAATTAATGAGAACCAGATTATTTTCACTCTCTATCAAATAATATACTGAAACTTACTGAAAAGAACAGGAATCATTTGGTTTGATACTGTCTTATATCTGAATTATTTCATAAAAAGAACCAAAATAATATGTTAAGGGCAATGATACTAAATTATTTTGCAAGTCAAACCACCTGTATTTTAGTTCAATTTTCTCTAATAAAGCAGGGACCTAACTTGTCCTATAAATGTCAGTAAATAAGTGTATAACTCAACAACATATTCATACAAAATGTATCCTTATTATTGAAGCAGTAGCTTCCAAATTTTCTTCATCAGAATCCAAAAGGAAAATAAATTACATATCAAAACCAAGAGTACACACACCAAAAATTATAAACTCTCCCAGTGATGTACCATGACAGCTCCTATTCTATTTGACTTCATTTTTTAAATCAACCTTCCTTCCTACCTGCTTTTCTTCCTTCCTTCCTTCCCTCCCTCCCTCTCTCCTTCCTTCATTTCTTTCTCTTTCTTTCTTTCTTTTTTTTTAGTTGGGATCTTACTCTGTCGCCCAAGCTGAATGCAGTGGCACAATCACCACAGCTCAAACTTCTGGGTTCAAGTTATCCTCCCTCCTCAGACTCCCAAGTAGCTGCAACTACAGGCACACACCCATGCCTGACTAATTTTTTTTTTTCTTTGTAGAGACAAAAGTCTTGCTATGTTGCCTAGGCTGTCTCAAGCTCCTGGGGGCAAGCAAACCTCCCATCTCGCCCATTCAATGTGGTAGGATTACAGCCATAAGATCCTACCTAGTGACTTAATTTTCTTTAAAAATATTGGTCATATCCTCTAAATTGATATGTAATCTAATTACAGGTTGCAAAAGTCAGTGTGAAAAACACTTTATTGGAATATTCTGAATGCCACAAAAGAAGATATTAATAAAAATGCCATTTATGAAAAAGGTTATATACTATATGATCTCAACCATACCATTCTGGAAAAAGGCAAAACTATGAAGACAGTTAAGATTAGTTGCTAGGGGTTAGGAGGGAGGAAGGAATGAATAGGCAGAGCACAGAGGATTTTTAGGGAAGTGAAACTATTCTGCGTGATACTACAATGGTACATACATGTGTCCAAACCCATGGAATGTGCACTCCCAAGAGTGAACCCTCATGTAACCAATGCTCTTTGCTGATAATGATGTGTCACAATGTAGGTTTATCAACTGTAACAAATGTACCACTGTGGTACAGGGTGTCAACAGTAAGGGAGGATGTGTGTGCGTGGGGCAGATACACATGGGAACCTCTCTGTAGTTTCTGTTCAATTTTCTGTGAATCTAAAACTGCTCCAATATAAAGTTTATTAATTTTAAAAAGCTATTGATATAAGCGTTGGGTACATGCAATGCCCATGTATAGTTGAGTTCTTGGGTTATTTAGAATTCAAAATCTACATATAACGTTAACACTACACTGCTGCTTCATGTTTTTCAGCACATGTTTATGCATTACCTTATTTGAATCTCAGAATATTCTGTGGGGTAAGCAAGTCACAGCATAGAAAACTGAGTGCTGCTAAAAAAAAAAACTTGCTCCTGGTCACATAGTGAATTAGAAACCAACTTAGCATTGGAATCTGACTTTTACACTGAGTTCCAAATCAGGGTCAAGACTCTGGAAAACATTCCATGCCCTAACTTACTGGTTGACAACCTTTTTGGTAACAGGAAGGCCTCTCTACTTCAGAAGACATTGTCAAAATGCTACCTCTACAGACCAGGATGCCTACTATGGTAAACAAGTTTACATCAGGACACCAGAAATAATTCAGGAGTATGAGAGTATCCAGTATGCCTCATGTGCAAGTCTTTGCTATAATTCTCCTGCCCAAGCAATGCTTTGTCAACTTTTCAACCAAGCCACTATATGGGAAAAAAGTCGTACTATTTTGTGGGTAGTGTAATAGACGCCTAGTGTCACTTTCTGTATATCCTAAGTAATGACTGCACACTGCAAAGGATCAGATTACTCTATTACACTTACAAGAATGGAAGAGCATACACTTTATCTATCATAAAACATGACCTGCCCTCGTTCACTTGCTATGTGATCAATGGACTGCTATAGTCCTCAACTGCTCTTCTAAATTCCTCTTTCTTTTAGAAGAGAAAGAGAATTCCAGAGGGAAAGCTATTCTCAATCACAACAGACTGGTGATAAAGGCTGTCATTCAATATCTCAACACTGTAGTGAGGCACAACAGCAATAAAAAAATAAAGAGGTACATTTTAAAGATGCCTGCCAGATTAACCTCAACCCAGTAGCACCAATCTTCAAGACTGCAGGGCTCTCATCTTGAATTCATTTAAAAACACACCTGCCCACATTTAAGAATATCAATACAAATTCAGGATGCAAGTAAATACCCTCTGAACAATAAATTTCACTGCCAGAAATTTATCCTACCCATATATTTGCACTCTAAATATCTTTCATATACATTTACTTAAGTAGATAATGCACACAAATGTTCAACTATTTGTAAGCACATAAAACTAGAAACAATTAAGATGTCAAATGGGATTGGTTAAATAAATTATGCAATTTAGATATATTCCCTGACAGCCATTAAAAGGAATATATCTATGTGCTAACATGTAAATAACATTAAAATATGCTGTATTTTAATAGAAAAGCAATGTTTGAATATAGTACATATTATGACCTTATTTGTGCTAGTTTTTTTTTAAAGGATATATAGGCTGTATGCTTACTATACATGAAAATTTCTGGACAACTACACAAGAAGCTTATTAGTATTTATCTCTTGGGAACAGGGTCTTTGGAGTACTTTACCTTCTACTTCATAACCATCTTGTGCTTTATTGTTGCTTCACTCTAAGCATATATTAATTTTATTTTTTTTAAAAAAGACACTAAAAACCCCCAAACACACAAAAAAATCTCTTGTTTAGGCTTCATGTCCACAAATCCTAATTCAATAAGTCTAAATTAAGACAATAGTACCAATATTTTTCACCCAATTGAGAACCAATTAATTAAATGGTTTTTAGCATTGGGTTAGAACTTTTTCCCTTTTTTAAAAAGATTTTTGTTCTCAGTTTTGGCAAAGGGTGATGATGAAATAATGCTAATTACACACAGCTGAAAATGTGCAACTACTGAAGAGCCTCAAGAGATTGTTTCAGGAACTGGGAATGAGCAGAACATATGAAAATGAGAACACAGTACAGGGTCAGCAAACCATGAGGCATACTGACCAAGTCTAGCCCACCAGCTTATTTCTATATAGCTTTCAAGTTAAGAATGGATTTTAGATTTTTTAAGTGATTGAAGAAAATCAAGAGAAGATATTTCGTGATACATGAAAATTACATGAAACTTAAATTCCAGAGTCCATAAAGTTTAACTGTAACACAGCCACACTCATTCATTTAGGTATTTTCTATGGTTGCTCTCACACTACAGCAGCAGAGATAAGTAGCTGTGACAGAGACCGTGTGGCTCCTAAGTCCAAAATATTTACTATCCGTTACAGAAAAAAGTTGCCAAAACCTAGTCTAATAGCATAATAATAACTCACTACAGACCAACCAAACATTACAGAATTTTAAATCTGCAGTAGTTTTTTAAAAAAATCTTTACAAAGTGAACGTGATTTTTTTTAAAAAGTACAAATAAAAACATTCACTAAACTACTTAAATTACTTTATCCTTGACATCTACTGTCCCATACAAACAAAAAATTTGCTGCTATATTAAAGATGTATTACTCACAGCCTCTGAGTTATCAATAAATGGATCTGTCTCATCATAGCCAAAGCCTATATCAATTAAATCTTGTAGCCGATCCTTCCGGTGTTTACGGGGTTTCCCACCCTGCAAAGAACAGATATGTTAGACTGATTCAGTCAGTACTCATGCTGTTATCACAAAGTTAAAAAAGGCCTGTTAGAAGAATTCAAACAATTTTTGTAGGTAATCTCTCCTCCAGGAGGTTGAGTGTGTTGTACTTAGAGACTTGCTCCACAGAGTAAAGTATGAAAAGCAGGAACCGAGTAACTTTACAATGGAAAACCTGGCCAATACTACCTCAGCTAGGTGATCACAGATCCTTGCTATGATGTGATGAAAATTGCTCTTCACCTCTGTACTCTTCTTTTCAAAAGGTAATTGTACTATGCCAATGTCAGCATCCTAGTTTTGAGAACTAGATATATAAGATATTACCACTGGCAGAAGATGAGTGAAGGGCACAAGGGACTTCTCTGTACTATACTAGCAATTCCTGTGAATCTGTAATTCTTTTTAAATAAAAAGTTTTTAGAAGTAAAACAACAACAAAACAAACCAGTTAGTACAGATTCCATTACTATGGAACCTTTTGACTCTGGTTGATTACAATATAAAGAATTCAGGTATGAAATGTCATATGTATTTTGAAGGTTATGTATAAGCTTAGTATAAGCGGTTAAAATGAGTGGGAAGCCAAATATCATGGCACTACTAAAGCAAGCATAGTCTTCAAAAGACTCATTTTATAACAATTACATTTTCTCAAATTGAACTAAACTTTCTAAGCATCTTCTAACACCTCCCTGCTCTGTGATTTTTTGGCGAGGGAGTAGGAAAGAGGATGCTCAGAAAAAGAGAAGAGAGAAAACTATTAGTGCAAAAGATTTTGCCGACCAACCTGAGCCACGGTGAGCCTTGCAGAAAGCATGAGATGTAAGATGTGACTCTCCATCACCTCATTTGGCTTCAGTGCTCACAGCGCATGCCTCTCAATGTAAAGTGTGATTCTAATGTAAAAGATGGATAAGTTGCAGGCAATAGGGTCCTAAATAAAAGCAAATTGCTTTATCTTGTTTCCATGCAAATAAACAAGGATCTGTTCCAGTACTTGAGGAGAAAACAGTCATGCTGGACTTGTGAGAGATATCTCCAACATGGTGCCACTGCTTTACAAGTAACTTGCAAGGGCAATTCTGACTAAATGCTATGTTTGTATTACATACTGATGTTAAAAAAGCTTAACCCCCATAAGCTATGACTCCATTTTATGCTTTTCAGTGGATAAAACAACACTATCACTTTACTATCAACACCAAGAAAGGCATTATTGTGTGACGTAAAGTAGTGGTTCTCATATTTTTAATTTTATAAGTTAGGTGGAAGTTTAAAAAACAATTCTAGGGACCAATACAGGTCCTTATTTTGCTAAATAAGGCTACTGAGAGCATAATCTCAGAACAACAACAATCCTTCTCAAGAAATACCCATTAGCAACCTTAAACAACACATACATAAATGCCTATATATACAGATGTAGTATATAGACATATAGACATATAACATGCACACTAAGTTGCCCTTATTTTTCCTATTTTGCAAGGTTTGCAAACTGAGACCTTTACATTAGGATACTGAATTATAGCGAAAATCAGAAGTCAGGGAGAGAAAAGAGATATTTCTAGGACAGGAGTCATTCTACTGAAAAAGCTACAAGGAAAGGACATGAGGGACAGTTTTACTTTAAAGACAGAGAGACAGATAGAAATATCTAAGAGGTAATAAAAATCCACAGACAAAATTAATGAAGAGGACTAGCCTTGCCACGTATTAGATATGTTTAAAGTTCTGAGAGTTAAAATAAATAAGGCAAGGATATAAAAATAAAAGACAGCATTGTTGTCCAATAATGGACAGCACTGTTCAGAAACCTACCCTAGTATGTAAAAATTTAAGATGAAGGTAGCTCAACTTAATGGAAAGTGATTAATAAATCAAATAAATGAAATTAAAGTAAGATAGCAATTTTACTATCAAATTATACATTGTTAAATACAGGAAATAGAAAGGCGGAGAAGAAATAGGGCTGCTCAAATTGCTAATAAGAGGATACCAATAGCCAGGCTCGGTGGCTCAGCCTGTAATCCCACGCCTTTGGGAGGCTGAAGTGAGTGGATTGCCTGAGCCCGCGGGTTCGAGACTTGTCTGGGCAGCGAGACCTCATCTCTACAATAAATCAAAAAATCAGCTGGGCGTGGTAGCATATGCCTATAATTCCGGCTACTCGGAAGGCTGAGGCAGAAGGATCGCCGGAGCCCAGCAGGTCGAGGCTGCGGTGGCCGGGAGCAGCCACTGCACTCCAGTCTGGGCGACAGAGTGAGACTCCAACTCAAAAAACCAAAAAAAAACCCAAACAAACAAATAAACAAAAAAAAGGGGATACCAATAAAACTCTTTTGGAAAGCAACTGAAAGCACCTGTCAAAATGCTGCAACTCTTATTTTTTTTGCCTCTTCTACGCTTTCTAAATTTCCTATGAAGTATTACTGCTGTAATGGAAATACACTAAAATAGTTTTTTAAAACTCTTCATCTTATTTGACCCAATAATTCTACTAAGTTATATAGCTTATTCTGAATTGCGACTTAGATTCAAAAGTATCTGTTAAAAATATATGCTGGCCAGATGTGGGTGGCTCATGCCTGTAATCCCAGCTGAGTCAGGAGGAGCCTGGTAGTTTGAGAACAGCCTAGGCAACATAGTGAAGCCTCATCTCTACAGAAAAGTCAGTCTGGCATGGTGACACGAGCCTGTAGTCCCAGCTACTTTGCAGGATGAAGTGGAAGGATCACCTGAGCCCAGGAGGTTGAGGCTGTGAGCTGTGATCATACCACTACACTCCAACCTGGGTGACAGAGTGAGAGCATGACTCAAAAAAAAAAAACAAAAACTGTACACTATACAGACTATAGAGACCAATATGTCAAAATATCAAAAAGAATTTAAGTGTAAAAAGTCTTTGACCTTCAGGAACGTAGAACAAAATAATCTACTAGATAAATTTACTGAGTACTTACCATGTGCCAGCCTTCATGGATTTTATAGTTACACACAAGCAATTAGGTACAGAGAGGAGAGACGAAAGATAACTACCCTCATGGTAGAAAGGAAAAAGACAGGTTGTATGGAACCCTTTTTAACAGAGGACCTAATCAAGGTTTTTTCCTAAGATATTTTATACCCAGACAAGGACAAGTAGAGCCACTGAAGGGATCACACAGGGAAATAACTGACAAGATTAGTGTTTAACAAAATCACTCTGGCTATTGTATGGGGAATTAACACAGCTGGGGAGCACATCAGTTAGAAAGGAAAAATTGCAGACTTCTGCAAGAAATTCACATTACCGGGGGCATAAAATATATATTTAAGTACCTATCACGATCACAATGATGATAATAGCTACCATTCACTGAGTGCTTACTTTGCATCAGATCCTATACTAAGTACAGTCATCTTTTATTTCACATTTGACAAATGAAAAAACCAAACCTTACAAAGGGCAAGCAACCTGTCTAAGGTCACACAGAAAGTAGAAGAGCCAATCTTCAAACTCATGACTGATCTCAAAATGCCATTCTATTGATAAATTCTATAAGAAAGTTACAGAACCTATAGGATCATTATTTTTATTTTATTTTATTTTATTTTATTTTATTTTATTTTATTTTGAGTCTGAGTCTCACTCTGTTGCCCAGGCTAGAGGGCAGTGGCACACTCACAGCCATCGCAGTCTTGACCTGCTGGGCTCAGGCAATCCTTCCAACTCAGTCTTCCATGTAGTTGGAACTACAGGCATGTGCCACCACGCCTGGCTAATTTTTCTTGATTTACTGTGGAGATAAAGTCACGCCAAGTTACTCAGGCTGGTCTCAAACCCATGGGCTCAGGCAATCCTCTCACCTTGGCCTCCCAAAGTGCTGGGATTATAGCCGTGAACCATGGCGCCCAGCCTAGGATCAGTTTTTAGTCAGAAACACCTTAAACTCAATATGCCAAAACTGAAATTAGTGTCGTCATTGTTGTCACTTATCTACAAAGTAGTTTCTCCCACTTGACATTCCCATTTTGTTCATCCCTATTTTTTGACCTTAAAACTTTATTACTGGCTAAAAATGAGTAACAATCAATCAGAGAGTTGGAGGAAGAGGACTGTCTTCAAAGATCTACAAGAGAGTTTTCCGGGGTGATGAAATTGTTCTGTGCCATGATCAGGATTGCATGCAACTTTTAAAATTCATCAAATTTTACACTTAAAATGGATGAACTGTATTTATTTAAATTATACCTCAACAATGCCGTTTTTTGGGGTTTTTTTAGTTGGAGTCTGGTTCTGTCGCCCAGACTGGAATACAGTGGCATGATCACAGCTACTGCAGTCTCGACCTACTGGGTTCAGGCAACCCTTCTGCCTCAGTCTTCCAAGTAGCTGGGACTTCAGGTGTGCACCACTATGCCTAGCTAATGATTTTGTTGTAGAGACAAGGTCTTGCCATGTTGCCCAGGCTGGTCTCGAATTTTTGGGCTCGGACAATCCTCTCGCTCGGCCACCCCAAGTGCTGGGATTACAGTCACGAGCCACTGGCCAATTCTGATTTTTAATGTCCCTCGATATTATTTCTGCTTCCAAGTCTCTCTCCCCTCCAACTTTTGTTCACATGATGATTCCCATGTACAGCTTCCTTTCCATTCTAATCATCAGTGCTAGGAAACTGGCCATGGTCTTTCGCGTAAATGTAATGAATGCCTTACTTAGCCTCTCTTCCCTCAAACTTATCTGGCACAATATTAAATATTAATATTTCTAATGACATTTAATTAATTAATCTAATTAATATTTCTTATAAACATTCCATATCATTCCCTTGCTCACAATGCTTCAGAAGCATCCTACCTATTGCAAGACAAATTCAAAACCTTTAATATGGTACCAGTTAAATGCATTCCACATGTTCACTCAAGCTACCTTTCCCATTTTTTTCTTACAAGTTTCCAACATGAACACTTTGATCCACTCAACTATTTGC